TCACGTGACCCCTTGCAGCCTCTGGAAGCCACGACATTCACCGCGAAGTAAAACGAGGAATTGATTCTTGATTCAGGCCACAGTCAGATCACCACGAGCACCCAAGAGCAACTGGCCAAATACCCTTCCGATTATAATTAGTCGAGAGACGGTGAGGTTTTCCAGGATAAAGTATATTATTACAACATTCGGCTGTTCAAGTATTCTCGGATAAAAAAAAACCCAAATCAACGAAGAGCAACATTAAAAGCTTGCACTGCTTGCAACACTCCTTCTCTCAGCCAGCCAGGAATGTAACTTGAAAATTTAACGAACAAACAACAACGAAAAATCATTGGGAATTTCAACGTGCTTGTTACGGGGGAGCCAACGTACTTCACACAAACGCAGGAGGTCCGAGGCATTGCACTTGACCTTTACTTGCCTCCACTGCTTCACTTGCACCACCTGGCTGGCTGGCTTGCCTGCTGTTGTGCACACAGTTCGCCACTGTAAAACAAAAACAGATCCCGATTTAAAGCTTTCGTGACTGCAGGGATTCATCTTCTTGGTTCTTTCGGCAAAGTCACGTAGAAGGGAAATAATACAATAATAAAAATAAAACATAATAAAATAATTCTCACGACGTTTCGGCCACAACGCAAGCAACCGTCCTCAGGTGAAGAAGAGGTCCGTCGGGAAGACAGCGTCTTAATGAAACACCCCAGGCTTGGAGCGTCTATTTAAGCTGGGTTGGAGGGGGAAGAGCGCATTGACAAAAGAATGTGCATATCAAGAGGAATTTAGCATATTTATGGGAAATGCAGATATGGGATTAGTCACTACTTGTGAAATGCGTACCGAAAAAAGATCCCCCCCCGTATAGCCTGAACAAACTGCTGTTGGGGCAAATGCGGTTAGCGAACGCTTATAAAGGCCAGAACGGCACACGAGAGGGTTGGGGTGGCCAGCACCACGTTTACTTCTGCACAAAGACAAAGATCTCCCGTATAGCCTTAACAGACTGTTGAGACAAGTACCCCAACAACTACTGCACACTCCACACACACACACGCACGCACGAGACATCCGTGTGGATTATCAGTTGCCCATGAGCCCCATTCTCACTGGAATCATTTACAAAAATCTCACGTGTTCCAATTTGTGCCACTAAACAACACTAAGTACATTGTATTTTTGTATTTGTATTATCGCTAACGTGTTGGAGTAGGTATAAGCTCAGTGTCTCATATCAAGTGAGATTCGAAACCAGCCAAACCGTCTGCCTAATTAAATAATTGATGCATCGGAAATTGGAATGAATGTCACGTGGGTTATATTAGCAATTCAAGCCAAACTCGGTTGCTCAGTTGATCAAACAAAAGAAAGCTGTCTCTGGTGTGGACCAATCAGTTTCAAAGACAATGCATACATTATTGTTTTATATTTTTATTATTTTATTATTCCCTTCTACGTGACTTTACCGAAAGAACCAAGAGTATGAATCCCTGCAGTCACGAAAACTTTAAATCAAAATTTAATGCATACATTATCAGAGTATGTTTTCGTTTGCATTCTGACCACAAGCATTGTGGTTAATGGAGACATGATTCCATGTAAAAGGTTTCAGTTTGGTGTTCTAACATCTTAACACAGCTGTTTTGTTGCCATAAAAAAGGGGAAAACCTATTCTCACATTTTGGTACTGGCAAAGGAGGTCAGATGATGTAGTTGATCAAAAATTTAACTTTGCACACAGAGCCACATTTAAGGCAATGAGCATTGCTATTATTGAAAACATAATGTCGCTATCGTGTCTGCGTAAACAGGGGCCAATCCTTGTGCTACTGTTGGTTTGTGAGTGAACACTGCAATGACAAACAGGGATCTTTCAATGCGCCTATAGCAGTGTGCTTTGTGTGCGGTGAAGAAGGGCCCGTTGCCCGAAACGTAAACTATTATTTTATTTTCTAAAGCCACAGTGTTATTGACGGATGTTTCTTTTTCGTATGCTTGTGCACCACTGCCAACGCAGCAGCAGCAGCATCGCCAAGATGATTTGTTCCATAGTAGTCGAGTGCGATGACGCTTTGCAAAAAGATTATAATTTCGCCATCCATCAAGAGCAGTTACTTGCCAGAAATTACAACCGTTCACTCCATTCAATGTTTATTTTCTGCCCTGCTCCCTCCAGGCCAGCTCGTGCCCTCTCAAAAAAACCACAAGTTGCACTTATGTACAATGATTTGTCTTGGCTTGGTGTGGTGTACGGCTCAACTGTCCACGAACCGACTGAATATGCCAAACGTGCATCAATAAATCATGAGTGGCACGAATGCTGAGTAGATGTGCGACTGAGCTGTGGCTGATTGATCGATTTCAATCTCAGGAATCAACTGCCTGCTTCCAATTTTATATAACACGGAGCTTTTCAAACTAAGCACAAAAAACGTGGCTCCGGTGCAATTCATGTCACGATTAACGTGCAACTTGATTTGAAGGGTAACATTCTATGTAGGGAGAACACAATAAATGTAATGTCTTGTTCTATATCACAGTGGTACCCCGGAGAACGAACTTAATTCGTTCCAGAAGGCCATTCGAACACCGATTTGTTCGAACACCGAATACATTTTCCCCATAATAATTATGTAAATGACATTAATTGGTTCCAGACACAAGAAATCTCTCATTATAAAGCATTTTTACACGAAGTTTACAGTAATTACATGCATAAAGGCATACAAAAAATACAAGAAACACAATAAATAAATGGAATAAATAGATGAATGAATGAAATAAATGAACATTGAACTTCACTTTACCTGTAGTAAGAGAGTTGATGGCTTGAGTGGAAGGTGGTGAGGAGGAGGAGGAGGTGGTAAAACCTTTGTCTGGGCAAGCGTCATGCACGCTGGCCATACACGTCTCAGCCGTACAGGTTCTTTCAAGTCGTGATTGCCCGTTCGACCTCCGAATTTCGTTCGGTTTCCGGGGCAAAAAATGTTCGGAAATATCGTTCGAACACCGATTTGTTCGAGTTCTGGTGCGTTCGATCTCTGAGGTTCTACCGTATATAATCATACTATTATTATGATGCTTTTTTACCTAGGAAAGTCTGCCCTTCCCCCACAATTCTGATTAGCATGGTTGGCTACGTATGGTCCGAAAGAAGTTCAACATATTTACTGAGTCTCAATACTTGTTTTTAGAAGTGGTCAGTTATCACGGATGGCAGGCAATATTCCTGTTGTGTGTAATACCAATTGATTCATTTGCAGGTATTTCTTTTCTTGCAATTGTATGTTTGGCCAAGACCAGTTTCAATGTTTATTTTTATATGGGAGGAAACCCTGGAGAACCCGGAGGAAACCCATGTAGAACAAGGGGGAGAACATTCAAATTTCACACAGAAAGGCACCCGAGTCAGAATTGAACCCAGGCTCTTCTTGTTGTGAGGCACGAGTGTTAACTACTGCACCGCCACAGCCACGACAGCTGTATCAAGTAAATGAGAGATTGTAAGAGCTACCACTCCGTATATATAATGGTTGGAGAGTGGTAGCTCTTGCAATCTCTCATTTAGTTGATACAGCTGTCGTGGCTGTGACGGTTCCACCTGAAGACGGAAGCTTGTGTTGCCTCCGAAACGTCGTGATTTTTATTTTATTTTACTTTTATTCATTTTAATGTTTTACCTACGTGACTTTACCGAAAAAACCTAAGAATATGAATCATTGCATTCACGAAAGCTTCAAATCTAGAATTACTGCACCGTCACGCTCTGCTACAACATTGTGACAACGCTTTAAAAGCCAGGCTTTCTGTACAACTAACAATACACTTACTTCACGTAGCACCTCTCACAACAACACATGCTCCATGAGTGCTGTTGAATAAAAAAAACTGAATGATATAACAAACACAAAACAACAAATACTGTTACAGACAAGAACAAAGTAACATAAAAAAACAATAAAAAGAAACATAGCTTTGAGATGAGATTTAAAACCGCCAAGTACAAAGCAAAAAAAAATCAACACCATCATTTAAAACTGCCATGCAATCGAAAAATGTACAGTAGGTTATCATAATCAGAATATGTATTTATATTATGAGACCTTCTTTGCCAGTAGCAAGATATAATACTAGGGTTTTACCCTTTTATCTGGCACCAAAACTGACACCTTTATACAAGGGATCATGTTTGCAATAACCACAACACAAGCAATCAAAATGCAAACAAAAAGAGACAACTCTATAAAGGTGTCAGTTTTGGTGCCAGATAAAAGGGTAAAACCTATTACTATGTATTTATACTTGAGGAATCCGATGAGCTATGAAGCTCTTTATTTCACAGATGTGCAGTGGGGGCGGGTCAGAACGTTACAACAACAAACAACAAAACACGACAAGAGTGCAAAGTATAGGAAAGGAAAAACAAATACACAAATACAATTTAAAAAAAATATTACCGGTTAAAGCCCACTGAGCTATTAACTTGTTTTTCAGAAGCGGCCTGTCCACAAATGATAGCTCAACAAAGTAGCTCATATTCGCGGAAGCAATGCGAGTGTAAAATAAAACATTCCAGTATGAAATCGGGGAAATGGTAAACGTGGATAAACTCCGAAACCCCCGTGCGCTGTCGACATCACCGCGCCTGCCTGCCACGTAGACTTTGTGCCAGAGGTCGCAAACGGGTTTTGATTCCTTACCCGTACCCGTACCCTGCCGCACCAGGGTCGCAAATGGGTATCCGTACCCGTACCCGGCCGGGTACGGGTAGCCGTTCCCTACCCGTACCCTACCCGAAATGAGTGACAAACGGCTACTCACCAGTGACTCACGGCCTACCCGTACCCGTACCCGGCCGCACCAGGGTCGCAAACGGGTACCCGTACCCGTACCTGGCCGGGTACGGGTAGCCAGGGTATCGGGCAGGGTACGGTTATCGGGTACCCGGTTGCGACCTCTGCTTTGTGCTCAGCTGTAACTCTCAGTCACAACTCCGCGTGCAGGTCGACCTGGATGGCCTCAACGAGCAGGTGGAGCAGAGGAGGTTTCGCGAGCAGCAGGAGAAGACGCGGGAGGAGGCCTTTGGTAACGCAGACGCACGTCTGGCACCTGAGCAATAACAGTAGCGTTGTGACTCTCCACAAGTGAAGTCGAGACGTTTTGCTGTTCCTGTCCATTTGTCCACACGTCCGTCCGGCTCTCTGTCCGTCTGTGCGTAACGCGGGGGGCACAATAATTCCCGTAAAGATAATTATCCAACACGAATGCAACATTCGTACACGGCTGCGTTTGCCGCTAACGACGGATTTACGCACACACGGCACATCGCGTTCCATATACCTCCTCTCACTCTGCCTTGTAGCTACTCGTCACGCGCCGTCTGCTTCAGTCTTATAAGTCACCTGGACTATTACAAACCTGTCACCCCTTATTAGTGCCTACCTTGTTACTGACCAATTCAGATCGTATTGGTCACCCCGTGCCCTTAAAAAATCTCAACGCTCATCCTACAAAGCCCCATCACAAGGAAGAAACACAAACAAATAAGACAAACATTTTTGGCCGTTTTGAAACGGCTGTACGCCGTATGGACATGAAAACTCAATTTCCCCGAATACGGATACACTGTATGGGTTACAGCTATGTTCCGCACACCGGCACACCACACAGACCCATGTGCCTCTTCCTCCCTCTCTCTCTACGTCCTGCGGCTCCCAAGTCCCGCTGCCCACTCGCTCTCCGGCCTAGCAAAAAAAAAGCGTGCCCCCCTTCCCACCCCCCCATCGTTGCAGCGGACGCAGCGATCCGGCACGACCGCATCGCGATCCTCCTGGACGAGAGGCAACGCGAGGAGTCCCGCGCCCTCGATCGCTCCCTCGCCCAATACTGGGCCCGCTGCCAGAGCGCCAGCGACAGGTCCCAGCCGCCGGCGGACGTCGTCGCGGACGAGGGAGCGGTGTCGGGGCTGCGCTCCTTCGCGGGCGAGGACCTGGAGGGCGGAGAGCGGCGCGGTCTGCAGAAGGAGCAGCAGAGGAGGTGGCTGCTGGAGCAGCAGGAGGAGAAGCGGCGAGCGCAGGACGAACGGAGGAACAGAGGTGGCGCGAACGCGACCGGCGGCGGAATCGGGCGGCGGCGGTGGCTCGGGAATTGTTGCAGCAGTTGTCGTCGCGATCGTTAGATGTAATCATCGTCACCGTCATCATGAGGTGCAAGCCGCTCGCCGTCACGCTGAGTGCAGGGCCAAGGAACATCGTCTTTGCAGCTCCGAATTGTCGTCACGATCGTCATCTTCATCGTTATCTCTTCATTTTGAATGATGATGATGAATCGTTCATTCATCAACAATAGCAGCAAGTATGACTCATTTATAATCATCAATTAACCATCGATCGTTCATTCATCAATATCATAAAATTTGACTCATTTGTAATAATCTATTATTAATCATCCTTTGTCGTCTTTATCTATCAGCTTTGAATCATTCATCATCATTTGCATCATCCGTTTAGTAGGAGACATTCATTGTATTATCAAACATCTCCACGACTCATGGAATAGGTCTACGGTTGGACACGCACATGAAAATAGATGTGGCCTCACCACCCCAGCCTACGTTCGAACAACGGTACATTTGACGATCATAAAATAATGGCAATTTTTTTTCTCCCCCATAAATTACAGTCTCATTTGGTTTGACGTGCAATGCCCGAGCGAAAAGCCACTTCGTGATCATAGCAAAAGATTGCCCACACATCTCGAAAGTGCGAGAAGCCTAGGGGGGGGGGGGCCCTCCGAAAACCGTGTAGCTGCCCACAGAAGGCCCCTGACCACGTTGCCGATACACCGAGAGGAGCCGCACTGCCATGGGGCCCCCCAGACAACTGCACCTCACCCCCCCCCCCCCCCAAATAAAACATGAAGGCATTCCAAGTTATGACAAATAAGAATAGGCATTGCCCCTTTCTGGCAATAAAAGAGGTGTTAAAATGTTCATAACCAAATAGATCATCTAGATTTGAAGTTTTCGTGACTGCAGGAATCCACCATAGGCCTCTATGGAGATGGTGTCCTCAAGCTGCCCCTCACCAGTCTAACCGAGGAATTCAAGTGTGCAAAAACCAGGCTCCAGATGACACTGAATGAATCTCGAGACCCAGTGGTGAGCAACAACGCGCCGACCTTGGCAACTGGGCGCAAATGGAGGCCAGGAAAAGCAGTCCAGGAGGCAACAGCAGCCCTCAGACATGCTGACATTGTGGGTCATGTTCAGCAAGGGAGAGGAGGCCTTGGGCTAACTAGCCGTGCTGCTTGGAGTAAGGCCACTGCACCAGAGCGGCGGAAGATGGTAGTGCAGGAAGTACGCCATCAGGAGGAGGCTGCAAGGTGGGCCAAGGCAGTCTCTCTTGCCAAACAAGGACAGTGGACTCGATGGGACAGTGTGGAGAAGAGGAAGATCAGCTGGAAGGATCTGTGGGCCATGGAAGCGAGGCGGTTGAGCTTTTCCATCAGAGCAACATATGACATCCTTCCAACACCAGTTAATCTTCACCAATGGTATGGTGAAGATCCGGACTGTGCCCTCTGTTCCATGCCAGCCAACCTCAGGCACATTCTCACAGGGTGTAAAACAAGCCTCACCCAAGGACGCTACACTTGGCGTCACAACCAAGTCCTTAAAAACCTTGTGTCCGCCCTGGAGGACAAGCGAGCTGCCACCAACTCCCTACCACCCCCAGCAGCATCACACCCCTTACGGACGACCTTTGTCCGCGAAGGGGCTAAACCACCGAAGAGCGGCTCTACACCAATAGAGCGAGACCAGCTGCGCTTGGCCCGCGACTGGAAAATGCTAGCTGACATTGGCCGGCAACTTGTGTTTCCTCCGGAGATCGCAACCACCACCCTAAGACCTGACATGGTGCTCTGGTCCCGTTCGCTCAAGAAGGTCTTCATCATTGAGCTCACAGTACCCTGGGAGGACTCAGTAGATGAGGCTTATGAGCGAAAACATCTGCGCTATGCCGATCTAGCTGCCGAAGCACGGCATCATGGCTGGAACACAGAAGTCCGACCAGTGGAGGTGGGCTGCAGAGGTTTTGTGGCAACATCTACAACCAGACTGCTTAGAGACCTGGGAATTAAGGGCCAGAGCCAGCGTTCGGCAATCAAAGCTGTATCGGAGGCGGCAGAAGGCAGCAGTCAGTGGCTCTGGATGAAGAGGAAAGACCCCAGCTGGGCCCCAAAGTGAGAGGGCCAGGAGGTATGCAGTCAACAATGCTTGACTCAGGGAGGAGGACGCCCCTGCCATGCATAGTCCCATGGGATGTTGGCTACCAACAACAAGGCAACTCCTATGACTAATTGGGAATGGGACGCAAGCGTAGGATTGATCACCCTGTCGCTGGCCGCCTTTGGGGAGGGTGTATAGTATGAAAGGCCGAAACACCCTAGGAACCAAAGGGTCACTACTGACGATGCGCTCCCCAAATTTCACCAGGCTCACTGTTCATGAACTCTTGGAAGTGCTTGCACAAAGGATAGTAACATCTCATCCTGTGTTCTTTGGAATCTGAATTTGGTTCTTTCGGTAAAATCACGTAGGTAGAAAAATTATAATGAAATAAAATAAAAAAGTGAAAAAACAACTAAATTAAATCATGACGTTTTGGGTGCAAAACGAGTGCCGGTCATCAGGTGGAAACAACCGCAGCAATAAACAATTGCTGAAGTGGGCAAAAGGAGGCTGCTTGTGACACGAGGCTATATATACGTACCAAATAGATACATTTTTGCATAGAATCAAGTCTGCATTCACCACACGTACCGGTGTGTTAGAAATGCTCTGAAACGTGTGGCATTGTCTTTGTACTGTTCGCCTTTTGGCGTTCTCTGGTCTGACACTGGTGAGACTAGGCCATAAAGACGTCTGTTTCTGGTGTAGGCCAATCCGTTTCAAAGAAAATGCATCTATTGTCAGAATTTGTTTGCATGTTCACCACAAGTACGTGTGGTTAATGCAGACTTGCTTCCTTGCTAAAGGTTTCTATTTGGTGTTTGAACATCTTAACATCTGGTTTATTGCCAGAAGGGTAAAACCTACTCTTATTTTTCATACTTTGATACTGGCAAAACGGTCCCATGATGCATTCCAGCTTGTTTGTTGTGGAGGAAGCAACGGCACTTCAAACCGCAGCGGGGAACGGACTTTGAGTCCCGGTGCAGTTACTCTGCCTGCACACTCGTGTGTGTGGTTTTTGTCGTGGCAACGTTCGCTTCTGAAAAATAAGTCAATACCTCAATGGGCTTTACCTGGTTAAAAAAATGTTTTTGTTGTATTTGTATATTTTTAAGTCAGTTTTTTTATCTTTCCTATACTTTGCACTCATATCGTGTTTTTTTGTCCATTTTGTTTGTTGTTGTAACGTTCTGACCCGCCCCTACTGGACACCTGTGAAAAGAGCTTTATAGGTCATCGGATTCCTCCAGTACAAATAAATATTCTGATTCTGAGTGGGAATGTGTCACCATCCCCGCTTACGGGCAACAAATGACAATTATCTGAACCAGTCCTGGGCCTCCCCCTAGGTAGACTCGGCCTTAAGTGAGTACCTGGTGCAATGTGTGAACATCACCACTCGGGAGACAAAGGCAGCCGGGCGTGGCGCTTGCCACTCACCCCATGTGTGCCGTGCGGGCCTTCATAGGTATTGCTCGCGAACAGCACTTGCCCCAACGGTCTGTTAAAGGCTACACAGGGGATCTTTGGCTCTGTGTGTGCGCGTGTCAGATGAGCTGTACGATGCGATGCGCCTGGAGATGGACCGGCGAGCCATGCAGCTGTCTCTCGCCGAGGAGTCGTGCCGCCGCGTGATCCTTACCGCCACCAAGGACTTCAACCGTGCGCAGGTGGGCGCGAGTCGGGGCAGTGCGCACGGAGCAAAGGGGCATGCGGCGCGAGCAGCAAGACTGCAGCCCTGGGCCCGTGATTTTGAGTGGCGCACAAAATAAAATGCAACACTACGGCCAGTGGCGCTCCCCCTTGAAATTCTGAATTTTTTCATTTTATTGATAGCGACATTGTTTTTATTATTAATAATAATAAAATAATGTAGCTGGCCAGCACCACGCCCGGCCGCCTTTGTTTCGCCAATGGTGATGTTTGCACACCACACCAGGTGCTCATTTGAGTCTGAGTCAACCTAGGGGAGGCTCAGGACCAGTTCAAATATTCGCCACTGTTTTGGTCGTGAGCAGGAATTGAACTCGGGGTCGCCAGGTTCGTAGCGCAGTGAGCTAGTCGCTGCACTACTGCTTCTCATACCACCACCACGTCCGTCTTTGTCTTCCTCTTGCCGCTGCGCCTTCGATTTTCCCGAGGAGAAGGCATGGCAGAAGTGCGTCCTGTGAGGCTCGCAATCTAACAACAACATGAACAACATCAACGACAACAGCAAATGACGCTTGTGTAACGATGGCTCTGGTGCCTGACTGTGCGCGGCCCGGCTAAGTGTTGGTATGCCAGCTGGAAATAAAAAAAAGTGTAAGCGTCGCGCTAAATTGAACTCAATGCCTGACAAATGGCCGATCCAAAGACACAAAAGCGTAAGCAGCTGTGTGGTAATTTGGAATCAATCTTGAGATTTGCCGCTGCTGATGTTGACAATGATTTGCTGAGGATGACAATGATTTTCCACGACAGATTATTTTGTGATGCCAACATGATAACAATGGTTGATTGACATGGTGGCGACTGCGATGATAACAACAACAACATGCCTCATGTCCTAACCTCTCCGTTATCTCTCCTCCACACAGTTAACACTGAGACTCTCATGTCCCTCCTCGGATACAGTTCCTCCTCCTCCACACCAGTGTTCTTCACTCATTTTCAGAGGGGGGGGGGGGGTGTGCACTTTCACCGATAAGATCTCAGAGTGTGGTTAGCCACACATTTGAAACCATTGGTTTTGACAGCATGATGGGGCGTTTTCACATTTGTGTATTATCGAGGGCCGCACGCCAGGGGGCCGCACTAAGGGCCGCCAGTGGCCCGCGGGCCTTGCAATGAAGAACGCAGCTCCACACGGTTACATTAAGCCACATCGTGTCCTGTCCCCTAGGCTACAGCCCATCCACACAGTAGATGCCGTTTTATTCCGAATAAACATCAGTGGCATAGCCTCACCTCCGACCCCCGTCTCCCATTCCTCCCCTATGCCACGGTGGCGAGATGTTAGCTCCCTCACCTGGGATGCAGGAGGTTCGTGGGTTAGATTCTGACTGAGTGCTGTACGTTTCGAGTTTGTATTTCTCTCTCCCCGTGGTCGCTTAGATTTTTCTCCAGGTCCTCCGGTTTTTCCTTCCACATTTAGAATCACGCATTGAGATTATTTGGCTGCTACTATAAATTCCACACGATGATAAGCCACTTCGTTGAGTTATCTACTACTACCGTTTTACCAGGTAAGGCCCACTGAGCTCTGTGGCTCTTTTTTCCGAAGCGACGTGGCCACAAAGGATGGCTCGACGAAGTGGCTCATCACGTGGACATTTAAAGCAGGCAATACTCTAAACGCGCGTTAATTCTAAATGTGGAGGGAAAAAAAACGGAGGGTATTAGTTTATTTTTCGATTTAAAGCTTTCGTGACTGCAAGGATTTTTCTTCTTGGTTCTTTCGGTAAAGTCACGTAGAAGGGAAATAATAAAATAATAATAAAACATAATAAAATAATTCTCACGATGTTTCGGCCACAAGACGGCTGCCTGCGTTGTGGCCGAAACGTCGTGAGAATTATTTAGAAATGTTGTATTTTTATTATTTTATTATTTCCCTTCTACGTGACTTTACCGAAAGAACCAAGAAGATATTAGTTTCGTTCAAATAACAGAGTGATCCATCCCCACCGCACTCGTAAACCCGGCGGGCTGGCGGGCGGGCGGTGTGCGCTTGATTCACCTCCAGGCGGAGGAGCAAGAGGCGAAACGGCGCCAGGAGCACGAGCGGGAGGAGGCGGCGTCGCAAGCGGAGATCGCCGCGCTGCTGGAGGGCGGCCTGCTCACCGAGGACCCCTCGCAGGCGTCCAGCGCCCTCAGCCCGCTGCGCGTCGTACCCGACCGCTGGAAGGGCATGAGCGGCGAGCAGCTGCACGAGATCCGCCTCGCCCAGGAGCGCCAGCGCGAGGAGAAGAAGGTCGCCTGGGAAGACGCACAGCGCGTCCTCGTGGGGGCAAATTCTTGGGGGGCGTTGTGCCCGGGGGCAGCCGTTGTCCTAACAAAGCAGAGTCAAAGTCTGAATTGAGATGAGGCAGTGTTCATCTCCCACAGGTGGAGATTCCACTTTCCTATGACTGAGGTGAGGGATTGGGGGGGTGGTCTATCCAAAGGACAGCCACTGTTGACTTCCCAACGAAGTGGTAATTATTTTATCGACCCCGGAGGGATGATGGGTTAAGCCAATCCCCGAACCGGGATTTGAACTTGCAGGTTTCAAATTGCGAGCCACTCGCACTACTGGTGGCCAGGTGGCCGAGCAAAAACAAATCGTTATTTCGATAAAGAAAGTAAATAATGGGTGACCTTATGTGCCATTAAGGAGGGCCATTGCTCGAAACGTTGCCGATTTTATATATTTTCTTTTAGGCCAGTGTTATTGATAAATGCTACAAATCTTTTGTTAATTGTGCTTGTGCACCACTGCCAATACAGCATTGTCAAATAATTTGCTGAAAAAGCAATGCTGTTAGGCTGCTGTGGGGGGCACGCTGTGGGCAGCAAGGTGGCAGTGCCGCAAAATCCGTTATTGTACTGCACCACACTCCAATGTGTATACTGCACGACTTCACCGGCCTGCAACGACCAAGCGTGGTGAAGTATGGTCAAATAGCACCTGACGACACACATGGCGTGGGAGGGCCTTGATTGACGATAAGTGCCGTACACGTACATGTTACATATACGGCGTGCAATAATACATTTACCATTTTGTCTTGACAACGGGAACAAATGATGCACGTATGTATGTTTAACACGTAGGCTTTCACAACCAATATTATCCATAAGAGGTTTTTGGGCTGTGTTGGTTGGTGGTGGGTTTAACGACACATTTATATTTACGCGATCTAACCCATAAACCTCTCTTATGCATGTATGTTGAACTTCTTTCGCATCATATGTAGCCAACCGTGATAATCGGAGGTGACGATACAGAGCAATGTGACACATTTGCATGCAAATTGAATGACAAATCTCAGTTCGTAGCACGTGCATTTGTAAGCCTACGACGACTCACTGCTGCCCCATGCAGTCACCGTGTCTAGCAGATGTTGGACTGTTCATCAGTGCCGACTTGTATTACTACACCTGTGCGGTGGCGAGATGTTAACTACCTCGCCTGGTATGCAGGAGGTCCTGGGTTCAATCCCGACCCTGACATCTGAAAATTTGGAGTTTGCATGTTCTCCCTGTGGTCGCGTGGATTTTTTTCTGAGTCCTACGGTTTTTCCTTCCACATTTAGAAACATGCGTTTAGAGTATTTGGCTGCTATAAATTTCCATGTGATAACAGGCGACTTCGTTGCGCTATCATTTGTGGCCAGATCACTTCTAAAAAAAAAAAGAGTTCAGTGGGCCTTACCTGGTAGAATTACACTGGTCAACACACTTTTTCTGGCATAAGGTATTCCAACGGTTTTAAGGTAATTTTGGGGTGCTGATTCCAAATCTGGCATCAGTTTTTTGTCTATCGGTTTTTGAGATATCAAATATTGCATTTTCAATACAACTGCAGAAGAAAAATATTAAATAAATGTGGATATCTACATAAAATGATATTATAAACACACTATCCTAAAAATACAGCACCATATTTTATCACTAAAGCAGTCACTGACTCGCAACAACTTGCAATCATAAGTGACAGAGTTATTTTCAGGTAAAATTAATGAAAATGGGGTATGCCGATAGCATAAAATGAGATGTGATAGAGCAAATCTGAGATCAGATTTGGAATCAGCACCCTGAAATTAGTCTAAAACAGCTGCAAAAGTCCAGGCCAGAAAAAAATGTTTTATTTGTTGTTGACCAGTGTAATAATATTTCGATTTAATGCTTTCGTGACTGCAGGGATTCATATTCTTGGTTCTTTCGGTAAAGTCACGTAGAATGGAAATAATAATTAGTATTATTTTTATTATTTTATTATTTCCATTCTACGTGACTTTAACCGAAAGAACCAAGAATACAGTGTTATAATAGTTTAGTTCCATGGGCACGGCATTCTGCATTGCTAAGCGTCGGCAGACCGGTGACCGAAACCTCTGAAGCGCGCCGCGGCTGACTACGGCCGCGACGATCGACGGTGTGCAGAGGCTGGAGGAGGAGAAGCGCCGGCGAGATGAGGAGTGGGAGCGTCAGAGCCTGCAGGCGGCACGCATTGGGACGCTCTTGGAGCAGGAGCAGCAGCGCAGCGCCAAGGAGCAGCGCCGAGCCCTGGACAGCACCAACATGCAGCTGGCCAGCGAGCAGAACATGCAGTGAGTGCAAAGACAAAGACCCCCCCCCCAACTACCACCCCCCCCCCCGGAAAGCATTAATAGACTTATTCTTAGGTTTTTTCGGTAAAGTCACGTAGATAAAAAATAAAAATTAATAAAAGTAAAATAAAAATAAAATAAAAATCACGATTTTTATTTTATTTTTATTTTACTTTTATTAATATTAATTTTTTACCTACGTGACTTTACCGAAAAAACCTAAGAATATGAATCCTTGCAGTCACGAAAGCTTCAAATCTAGAATTAATAGACTTCTTCTTGGTTCTTCTTGGTTCTTTCGGTAAAGTCACGTAGAAGGGAAATAATAAAATAATGAAAATAAAACAGAATAAAATACAATTCTCACGACGTTTCGGCCACAACGCAAGCAGCCGTCCTCAGGTGAAGAACAGGGCTGTCGGAAAGAAAGCGTCTGAATGACGCCACTGTGGAGATAAAGACTTTACTGAAATAACCAAAAAGATGAATCCCTGTAGTCATGAAAGCTTTAAATCGAAAAATGAATAGACTTTTCGGGAAAGTGCTATTAGTGGGTAGCAGCACTTACAAAGGTCGGCACGGCACACGACGGGGTGTGTGGGTGACCAGCACCTCGCACGCCCAGCTTTGTCTCCACAGTGGCGATGCTCACACACACACAGCACCAGGTACTCGTTTAAGGCTAAGTTAACCTAGGGGTTCGGGTAATGGTCACCGGTGTTGGTGGCCGTGAGTGGGAATCGGACTCGGCTCGCCGGGTTCGTAGCGCAGCGCGATAACCGCGAGGCTAACCGTGGCGCTACCTCAGTGAGTGCGCGCACAGACAAAGATCCCCCACATAGACATACAGGCAGTCGGGGCAAGTGCTGTTAGCAAGCACCGATGAAGGCCGGCACGGCAGTCGAGGTGGTGGTGAGGCCAAAATCAGCCCTCGTGTCACCATTGCCTCCCCAGTGATGATGTTAACACACATACAGCACCAGGTACTCATTTAAGGCTGAGTCCTAGATGCCTCGACGGGCGAGGGATATCGATTACACTGTATTTTCCTTGACTACATGAATGCAAACTACTGTAGTTTACATTCATGTAGTTATATCAAAATACGTAGTTATACTTTACAAGCCAGCTGTAAATGTTCTATAATCCACGTGTTCCTCCCCCTGTCTCTTGAATGTAATTCAAAACCTGCCGCTCTCTGTGCTACTTTGGGCATTTTCCAGCTTTTGCTGCGTCATTTTCCTTGTCAACGTCCACGTTTTCTTGATCCACGTATCATTCCAGGTCGTGTATGCTGGTGCAAGCCATTGTCTACGCATCTCGTTCGATTACGTTTCGTTAAAGTGCCAAGTTCGGATTTCCCAGCGTTCAACATGTTCTCATTCGCCTCTCTTCATGTCGTCATCTCGACCCCGCTCTGTTTGCGAAAACTGCTAGAGACACGCAAACGCCGTGTTAAACCGGTTGAAAGACATCGCCTTGACCGCTAAACAAATGTAAACGAAGGTCAAGACTCACGATAGAGTGGCAGCCAATGGAGAGAACACGTTCGAGAGGACATTTAACCGTGGAGATGGAGTGATGAAATTAGCTCGTGCGCAGGAGGCTAGATATGGATTGATGTGTGACGAGATTGCGAGACATGGTGGCAGCATGCAGAGGCCTTCATCCAGCAGTTTCTAGATCAAAAGCAACCCTCTTAACAGCACATGCACTGTGCTGACATGCATTGCAAAGGCGCATACATCAGTTTTAGTGCACTGGGTGGGGTGTAGCCAACACCATGCCCAGCCACCTTTGTCTCCCCACTGCTGATTTATAACACACGCGATGCACGCCCATAATGGAGTTCTTTGGAGACAATTGCATGGCTACAAGGTGTCTATTTTCTCTGGCTTCTCTGGTTTCCTCCCGAACAGCCAACACTCAATGAAGAATTGTCTAAACATCCCAGCATAGGGCCTCACTGAATCTTGAGACTCAGCCAGGCGTTCCTGGATGAATCAAAGACGCACTGTTATCATTATTATTTCAACACAACGCACAGACACACGGTAATCGCTGATTGCACAGTACACGAACAGCTTTCACACTCTGTCCGTCATACTTTCACAAAATGTGCACACGTGGGAAACACGCCGTGGGCATTCAAACCCTGAAGTGTGACATTTTTTAAAGGGGGGCCCATTTAACATCTCAGCCGAGGGGAGAGGCACGGCACAGTCAATTGTTAAACAAACTCTAAACATGTAAAATCACCAAACCGAGTGCATGATGCAATCTCCTTTCACCTATCGTGCATTGTACCAAATCATTTCGAAACAGGGCTTTCTACAGAGGGGTTCAGACCCCTCCAGACGCCCCCCCCCTCTCCTCCACCACCGATGCTACGAGGATGTAAGAATGAGATAATCCGTCATTACCTTATCAGCCCTTATCCTGTGTCACACGTACACGCAAGAGCGCGCCACGTGAACGAGTTTACGTCACCGCAACGTGAACTTTACCTGAATTCCGTGCGGCCTGCCGACACACACCCATTCATTCGTTGCTCGGTGCGAAATATTTTATTTGCAGCCGAGAATTCTTGGAGAAGGAAGTCTACAAGAACACTCCGACGGAGCAATTCTTCGCCCAGTTCAACACGTCCAGCCGTTGAGAGGTGGCGCTGACGGAGGTCACTCGACGGAGAAGACACGCTCTGTCATATTATTATTCTTTTCGATTTAAAGCTTTCGTGACTGCAGGGATTCATCTTCTTGGTTCTTTCGGTAAAGTCACGTAGAAGGGAAGTAATAAAATAATAAAAATAAAACATAATAAAATAATTCTCACGACGTTTCGGCCACAACGCAAGCAGCCGTCCTCAGGTGAAACCAGGTCTGTCGAGGCGACAGCGTCTGAATGAAACAGCACACGTGCTTGGAGCATATATATAAGCTGGGTTGGAAGGGGGGGGGGAAGGGCGCCTTGAGGAATTTAGCATATTTATGGGAAATGCAGGTATGTGATTAGTACTACTTATGTGCGTGCATTATGCAGGATTAGCAGCATCCAAGGGAGGGGATATGGGAAATGCAGGTATGTGATTAGTACTACTTATGCCCGTGCATTATGCAGGATTAGCATTTTATAATGTTTTATTTTTATTATTTTATTACTTCCCTTCTACGTGACTTTACAGAAAGAACCAAGAAGATTATTGTTCTTCTTCTCATAATTAAGCACGTATCGTATTGATCACAAAGGCTTCCCATAAACCAGCTACGGTAGAGCTCGGGGCCAATGACCCTGCATGAATGAGTGTTCAATAAATCACGATTGTGGTAGAGGTACAGCTGGTGATGATACAAGTTGCTGTATTCACGGCAGTGATCTAGTAAACGACATTGCTCAGGGGATGTGGAAATCGGTCAGGTGGGGCCCCAATATTTGATTTGTCTCGCACGGTCGCACCCTAGAGGGTATTATAATGCGCGTCACCTCTTGCCGAATCACATCATCGTGACGCTCAACGGTCTAAAACATTAAACACTGTAAGGGGCGCTCCGTGTTAACAAAATGCAGCCACTCCAGCTCCGTAGTAGTAGCACCTCTTTGCTATGTAATTGACACGTATCTGATGCAATATCCCAGAAACGGAGTTCTATATGAAGTATATTTTCACTAAAAACAAAAAAAAGTTATCCATTAGAAGTTGTTTTGGGGTTAGATCGCGTAAATATATAAAATAGTCGTTAAACCCGCGTGGAACGCGCGCACACGAGGCCCGTTAATTAATATTGAATCGGCTCTATTTACGCAGCGTGTCACGTGGGACGTGTTTAACAACCATCGGGTTTGTGCAGCGTACAACGAGTTGATTTGAATGTTAGTACGTTTGTGAATGCGGAAGGACGTAAGCGTGGTGGTGGGGGAGGTGGCAGTGACTGGAGTTTGGGAAACTGGTTTAATTAAATCCTTTATATTAAGTTCACTTGCTTGCTTGCTTAGGACTGCAAATCTTTCGGTCGTTTTTTAATCCACTTCCCGTGATCCAATCGAGCTGACATTTTGCACACAGACTCGTTGTGCGTGACAATTAATGTTCGTGAATTTTTTTTCCTAAATATTACACTTTTTAGGACAAAAATATTATGTTTAATTACCAATTGCTTAATGCTGCCATGCAATCATCTGACCCATAGGTGGCAGCCATCTCAAGCCAGAGGACGAGAGGACTCTAGCCGCCACGCATATAAAGGATTTATAGTGAAAAACTTTGTTTTTACGGGTTATACTTGTTTCTACCGAATTTCAATCAAGTCTTATGCCGTGGGTGTGTGTGTTGCCTGGTGTGTGTTCTGCAATCACGTCTACAGGGGGCTCGTACTAACCTACAGGTGTAATCATTGAGCAACGTATACCTCGATCAGTAATAACAATAATAAACAGCATTCGCAAAAGAGTTGCCGAGTTTGTCTATTTTACTTTACTCTGGTGGAGCGTGTGTCCTGTGCAGTAGTCCACGTGTCTACTAAACGCGATCGAGTCAGATTACAAAGCACTCGTGTCAACAGAAATGGCCAAACATCACAAATGTAGGACCCCCACCTGACCGAGTTATTCCTTGAGCCTCGGTTATTTTTTTTATGGATAAATGCCACGCGTTTATTACTGGAGTCACGATAGCAGTCAGCAGAGGGCGGTGAAGCAAATCCATTATACTGCACTTCTATGGACCCCCACGTGTGTTCTCCCCCCTTCACCAGCCCGTGCTGAGCAGCAGTGGTGAAGTATGGTGCAATGACCCACGTGGTTGTTGGGAGAAGCTGTACCTGGCAGTGGATTGACAAGAGGTTGTAAACGTGCACGTTCATATCAACACCATCACTGCCTCGAGGTTGCTGGATACGATACAACTCCTAGACATTCAGAAGCACGCAACTTTAATTTGACATTGAAGGTAGGTGTCTTGACACAAAGAGCACACGCTCTGCGAGTGATGGGATGGTTAACTTAACTGTAAATTAAATTACAGCACAGGACAGAAAACTTGATCATTACCAAATTGAACACGAGCCTTCCTTTGGAATGTTTTTTTGCTGTTGTCTCGAGATATTTGTGCACAGCAGTTTGGCGGATATATTTAAGTAGCACATTGCCATCGCTCTCTCAATCTGCCTGCAATTATTCCTGTAATTTCGTTACCACTAAACCAATAATGTATTTTTGCTCATGTGTGCCGTCAATAATGTATCACAAGTTCATATTACACTGTGGATGAACGAACACAAATCCACAAACCTGCACCCTAATTGTATACTCTACCAGTATTGTGCATGCTTTTTTTTTCGTTATAAACCAGTGGTTCTTAACCTGGGATGCACACACCCCCAGGGGAGCGATATATGGCAGATTTATTTTAGAAGGTAAATAGTCGAAAACACAAATACAGCACGGGCACGTAAGTACAATTACTTTATATTCTTGGTTCTTTCGGTAAAGTCACGTAGAAGGGAAATAATAATAAGAATCAAGAATATGAATCCATGCAGTCACGTAGAAGGGAAATAATAAAATAAAAAATATATAAAACATTGTTAAAATAATAAAAATATAAAACAATTGTTTTATATTTGTATTATTGTATTATTTCCCTTCTACCTGACTTTACCGAACGAACCAAGAATATGAATCCCTGCAGTCACGAAAGCTTTTAAATCAAAATTACAATTACTTTGTTTCATCAAAGCTGTGTAATTTATTAACATGAAACATTTTTTTTTACGATTGAGAAACCAAAGGGATGTAAGGCTGCAGTAAAGGTTAAGGTTTAAACCATTATGGACATGAAGGTCCATGCATGTTAATCCAGCGCGTTGGGAATCGAGAGTTTGACGGCTCGCACAAAAGTTGTGAAAGTCCCAAGCAAGCCCGCTGGGCCTGCAGAGAGGCCCAATTAATTTTGGCAAACACAGAGAGTAGTGCACTGACTGTGTGTGTGCAGCTTTACGTGTTACCTCTGCACGCACGCGCCTTCTCCCGTATTCCGACGACCTGCCACAAGCCACGCGCGCACGCACGAATGGCATCGTTTCAACATCCTATCCTTCTTCGCATAATCTGTCCCTCCAATATAAAGTCTCTCCACACGTCCCAATGTATCTGTCTCTCTTGAAACTCAGTGAGGCATTCTTTGGAAAAAAAACATAAATGCATCGTTATTATTTTTCGATTTAAAGCTTTCGTGACTGCAGGGATTCATCTTCTTGGTTCTTTCGGTAAAGTCACGTAGAAGGGAAGTAATAAAATAATAAAAAATAATATAATAATTATCACAATTATTTTATTATGTTTCCTTTTATTATTTTATTACTTCCCTTCTACGTGACTTTACCGAAAGAACCAAGAAGATGAATCGTTATTATTGTATACTAGCCTTTTGTCCGTCCAAGGACGGGTTTTATTGCAATAAATCTGAAACTTGCAAGCGAAAAGCAGACCGCGACGTCATATTCATTGCATCCATTCGTGTGCAATTTGTAAGGGCGCGGTGACACAGACTTATTTCCTTTAAAGGTTATAATCCCTTGATCATCGTGACGTCCTTTCTACTTTGATGTCTCAGTAGCGTGACGGAGATCACGTGACGTGAGGGTTCTGCCTTTGTAGTGAGGGTTGTGAGTTGACGCCGAGGAGGGGGGGAGGAGGCGCCTCGGCTAATTATTACACTGGTCAACAAAAAAAAACATTTTTTTTCTGGCCTGGACTTTTGCAGCTGTTTTAGACTAATTTCAGGGTGCCGATTCCAAATCTGATCTCAGATTTGCTCTATCACATCTCATTTTATGCTATCGGCATACCCAATTTTCATTGATTTTACCCGAAATTAACTCTGTCACTTATGATTGCAAGTTGTTGCGAGTCAGTGACTGCTTTAGTGTTAAAATACGGTGTTGTATTTTTAGGACAGTGTGTTTATAATATCATTTTATGTAGATATCCACATTTATTTAATATTTTTCTTCTGCAGTTTTTATCGAAAATGCAATATTTGATATCTCAAAACCCTGACGTGATAGACAAAAACTGATGCCAGATTTGGAATGAGCACCCCAAAATTACATCAAAACCGTTGGAATATCTTATGCCAGAAAAGGTGTGTTGACCAGTGTTATTAATGTCGGAGGGGGGGGGGGTGTCCATTTGGAGGACGTCACCTGCTCATGATTATTAATGAGGGGGGCTGGTCAACGTGGAGTGACGTCACGCACAGGACACACAGACGTTCTTGGGTAAATATCGTAGTAAATTACCGGATTAGCCGGTGTATAAGAACCCTCTGTAATCCATACTCTTTGGTTCTTTCGGTAAAGTCACGTAGGTAGAAATTATTATTATTTTTGGTTTTATTTTATTTTTCTATCTTCGTGACTTTACCGAAAGAACCAAAGAGTATGGATTCCTGCAGTCACGAAAGCTTCAAATCAAGATTGAACCCTCGTTAAAATATTTATATTCTTGGTTCTTTCGGTAAAGTCACGTAGAATTTAAATAATAAAATAATAATACAACTTAATAAAAATTATCACGACGTTTCGGCCACAACGTAAGCAGCCGTCCTCATGTGAAGAACAGGGCTCTCTACGGGGAGGGTTTCCACATAACTTTGAGATCCTTCAACAAACTGCGAGAGAAGAAGACTCAACTGATCGAGTCTCTCACCTTTCTGAAGAGATGCCGCGACTCTAAGGGAATACCAATATGTAAACTCCTTTGTCAAGGCGCTCTCCTCCTCCCACCCAGCTTAAAAATACGCTGCCAAGCTTAGCAGTGTTCATTAGGACCCTGTCTTTCCGACAGCCCTGTTCTTCACCTGAGGACGGCTGCTTGCTTTGTGGCCGAAACGTCGTAAGAATTTGTATAATGTAGAAATTTTATTATTTTATCATTTCCCTTCTACGTGACTTTACCAGAAAGAACCAAGAATGTCAATCCCTGCAGTCACGAAAGCTTAAAATCGAGTTTATTTTTATTTTTTTTATTTTGTATTTTCGCGACATCCCCAGGAAACGTTTGGCCAACAACGAATGGTCAAACAATTTCAACCACGCGCCAACGTTAGCCGAATGTTGGTTGCGGACATTATAGCCACACCACACACCTGGCCACCACCCGTCAAAGATCCTCCCCCGTATATACCCCGAACAGACGATTGAGGGCAAGTGCTGTTAGCGAGCAGCACCTATGAAGGTCGGCACGGAAATCGAAGGGGTTGTCCAGCACAACGCCCGGCCGCCTTTGTCTCCATCACAGACACACACAGAAGCACAAAGGCAGCCCTTGCCGAACACGCATCACAGGAGGGCAACTCGACACCACTGGCTCGCGTAACGCGACCGACTTGGGGCCAATGGAATAATGAATATTTCATTATTTTAGCTACAGGTGTCGCCTTTCGCGGTGGGAGCCTGCCGCGTCTCTCGCAGCAGAGAGACGCGGAGGTGACGACGCAGCGCGTCTCTCTGTCTCTGTGTGTCTGTGTCTCTCTGTGTGTCTGTGTGCGTCTGTGTGTCTGTGTGTGTCTCTCTGTGTGTGTCTCTCTGTGTGTGTCTCTCTGTGTGTCTGTCTCTCTGTGTGTGTCTGTGTCTCTGTGTGTCTCTGTCTCTGCGTCTCTGTCTCTGTGTCTCTGTGTGTCTGTGTGTGTCTCTCTCTGTGTGTCTGTCTCTCTGTGTGTCTGTGTCTCTGTGTGTCTCTGTCTCTGCGTCTCTGTCTCTGCGTCTCTGTCTCTGCGTCTCTGTGTGTCTGTGCCTCTCTGTATGTCGGTGTGTCTCTGCGTCTCTCTGTCTCTTCGTCTGTTTCTCTGTGTGTGTCTGTGTCTCTGTCTGTGTGTGTCTCTGTCTCTGCGTCTCTCTCTCTCTGTGTCTGTGTGTGGGGGGAGCGGTCGTGTCCCGCGGTTCGTGCGCTGCGCTACGAACCCCGGTGTCAGAGTTCGATTCCCGCTCAGGACCACCAACTCCCCCAAGTCGACTCACGCCATCAAATGAGTACTCGGTGCGGTGCGTAAAAAACCCCATCACCACTGGGGAGACAAAGGCGGTCGGGCGTGGTGCTGGCCACCCACCCCCCTCGTGTGCCGTGCCGACCTTCACAGCTGCTACTCGCTCACATCACTCGCCCCGACACTGCGAAGACTACGCGAGGTGAGGATCTTCGTCTTTGGGAAGAGGCTGGGGGGGGGAAGATGGGTGGTGGAGAGAGCATCATGGCTCCACCGGGCCACCCATCAGCATCACCACCACTACCACCACCACTGCTCTCAGCCGTCTCTGGCGACAGCCCGTGGCTCTCCCTCCTCGCTCTCGGAGTCTCCGCGGCGCTCTTCGTGGTCGGCGTCGGTGGCAACGTGGCCGTGCTGCTGCTGCTCTGCGGGGTGGGCGGCCCCCCCCGCGGGCTCGGGGCCGCGCTGCTCGGGGCTCTGTGCGCCGCCCTGGGGCTCCTCGCCGCGGCCGCGCTGCCCGCGGCGGTCGCGGCAGAGACGTCCCTCGTGGGGCACGCGGAGCGCCGCCAGATCCACGTGGCGCTGCGCTACTGCGAGGTGAGCGGGGGGAGGGGGTGGGGGGTGAGGGAGGGGGGGGGGGGTGAAGGGATGGGTGGGGGGTGAGGGAGCAGGGGGGTGGGGGGGAGTGAGGGGTGGGGGGTGAGTGGGGGTGAGTGAGGGGGGAGTGGGGGTGAGTGGGGGGGGAGTGGGGGGTGAGTGGGGGTGAGTGAGGGGGGAGTGAGGGGGGAGTGGGGGGTGAGTGGGGGGTGAGTGGGGGGTGAGTGGGGGGTGAGTGAGTGGGGGGGTGAGGGGTGAGTGAGGGGGGAGTGGGGGGTGGGGGGTGAGTGAGGGGTGAGTGAGTGGGGGGTGAGTGAGGGGTGAGTGAGTGAGGGGTGAGTGAGTGAGGGGTGAGTGAGTGGGGTGTGAGTGAGTGAGTGAGGGGTGAGTGAGGAGGTGAGGCAGGGTGAGACTTCCTCTTGGCCAGCCCAAGCTGTTGCTCAGCCACAGTTACGCATGACGCCCAGGGCGGTCCAGATATCTTGTGACCCCGAATTAATTGACCTCTAACTTTTTTCCCCTTTGCATATCCTTTACCGTTTGAAATAAACCTTAACTTAAAAATATTAGGTTTTAGATAATTAAATTGGGGTCACAAGACATCTGGACCACGCTGTACAGTATATAAGTTGAACTTCTTTCGCACCGTACTTCACCGTCATTGCCATGTGTTTAGGATGATGTCACTCTTACAAGTGACACTTATACTCTACCCTGGTCCCTTGAGTCCTCGCCTGGATAAACAAAACAACTTAACTCAACTTACTACTCCCCGTTGAGTCTCGAGACTCACAGTCTCAGCAATCACTCATTGCCATTCTCAAGAGACGTTATATTTTAAAATGCAAAACCTCAAACTCAGACTCCCTTCTTTAATGGGGTCCACAGTTAACATCATCACGAATGAACAGTACTGCTATTATAATACAATTTACATCGTAGAACTTCACCATCAATGGTGGCAAGGTACTCAACCACTCATCCTAATAATCCTCAATGGGCCAATGACGCTGCCATTGAAATGTAGAGGCAGACCCAATCCAGTCTCAAGCTTCCCTCTCAATGGGGTCTAACAGTCATATAATTATCAGCATTCGTCAGTGTGACACTGCCATTATAATGCCTAAACGTACTCAACCAAAAACCCTGCCTTAAAAAGATAAAACAATTAGAAACATTTTGAGAAAATCGGCAGCGTTATGGCCAATAGCCATTCTTCAATGCACTTGAAAGGTCACTGCCTGAAACGTCGCAGATAGTTTTTTTTCTTTTAAAGCAGTGTTGGTGACGAGTTTTTTATTACACGCTTTTTATTAACTCACTGTTTGCTGTATCCTCAAATCTTGTAACGAAATTTTTACCCACTTCCCAATGTGGTGTGAACCGCAAACTTGGTATAGGTATGTCATACTGATGACAATACTTTATTCTATCATTAAAAAATATATATTTTAAAACATTATTTTTTATATGTTATGTTTCGGCTTGGGTCTAATTGTCCACGCTCAACTCACGTTGGCTGTAAATCAACACGGCCCCTGACGTTATGGCAAGCTTCGGGGCCACTTCCTGGAGTCGTGGAGTTCTTCCAATACGAGTACGGTACATTTCATTAAAGCGTGTTTTAAAAAAAAGTTTTTAAAAAATATTACTTATTTGTTCGTCTATTGTGCTTATGCACCACTACCAAAGGAGCATCACGAAGTAACGTATGTCATCACGATACCTGTAGATTGGCAGTGGTTCTGAACCTGGGGGGGGGGGGGGGGCACGCTGTAGAGGTGCAAGTTGCCCTTTCTGGGGGTGCGAGGCATGCCAAAACATTTTTTAGAAGGTAAATCATCGAAACACAAATTAAGCATGGGCTCGTAAGTACAACCGCTTTGTTTAATCAAACTTATGTCTTTATTAACATAACTGTTTTAACGATCAAGAACAAAAGGGGTGAAAGGCTGCAGTAAAGGTTAAGCACCACTGAGAGCTTAGATTGGAAAACCTCACCGAGTCTCAAGACCCATCGGTAGAGTCCACATCTTCATGCATGAATCAATAATGCGGTCATCATTTATCGAGGGGAAACCTCACCGAGTGCTCAGGACTAATTATCAGCAAGGGTCTCAATCATCATAATCAATAATACTGCAGTCAAACTGTGGTGGCTCACACCTGTGACTCAACGTGGATCGCGGGACCACACAAGTGTATTTACACTCACTAACCCACTGCGGCTCTAAGATGACCAGATGTACGTGCCATATGTTGAACTTCTTTCGCACCGTACCTTGACAACTGTGCCATTTGGAGGTGCGAAGAAGATGGCAGAATACAAGAAGCCGATTCTTAAATCCATCTGCGTGGGCATTTAAAAGGAGTGTTATCCTTTTAAATGCGTGGTTAGCTGTGTCTGGGAAAGCTGGTTTCCTGCCACGTGCAAAAACAAAAGCATTTTAAAAATGGAATTGACCAAATATCACAATGTTAGTACCCTCCTGAACAAGAGGCTTGGGACTCATTGCAGCTCTGCTGGATAAATGACAGTTATTAATTTTACCATTGCGTGTGGCAAAAAACCAAACTGCCTGGAGAAACCCATGCACACAGAGAGAGCACTCATACCACGAGCATTATATAACCTACGTGCTGTCCTGCCTCCCAGGGACATGGCTTAGGGAGAATAGTGTTGTAAACAACTTTGAATAATTGCAGCCAAATTGTACTGTACTGTAATTATGCCCCCACGTCTCTCCTCGCTACCGTCACTAACCCGCACTGAGCAGCGTGGTGAAGTATGGTCATATAACTCGTGCGACCCGCACGGCGCGGGGATACCCTCATCCGGCAGTGCATTGACAGAACGGGTGGCCGCACTACGAAAAAAGACAAAGACGGCTGGGCGCGGTGCAGGCCACCCACTCGTCGTTTGCCGTGCCAGCCTTCGTAGGCGCTACTCGCTCGCAGCACTTGCCCCATCGGCAGTCTGTTAAGAGGAGGCGACATGGGGGACCGTTGTCTTTGACAGGCCCTCGTGCTGGGCGTGTGCACGTTCACGCTGTGTGCCCTGGCCATGGAGCGACTTCGTGCCGCGTTCTTGCCCACGCACTCTGGCGCCGACGAGACGTGGGCCTCCATCGCGGGCAAGATCGCCATCATCTGGGCGGGCGCCGCTCTGCTCGCTCTCCCCGAGCTGCTGCCGCCGCTGATCACCCTCGGACGGAGCCCGTCCGAGCCGCCGCTCCGACTCGTTCCGTCTCCCTCCGCCGACGTCTCCGGCCAGACCGCCGGCGTCCCCTCCGTCCCGATGTCGCTCGCCGCCGACCTCGCGCTCGGAATTTCTTCCGCCGCCGCCGCCTTCGCTCCGCGGCTCGACCGGTCGCGGCGCGAAGCGACGTTCGGAGCGAGCCCGACTCCCGAGCTTCGTCGTCGCTCTACGGGCAACGCCGGCGAGGCGCGGCCGGGCTGGACGTCGCACGGCGGCGATTCCCGCCGGCGCCGGGCGGCCGCCGGCATCCTCGCCGAGCGTCTGCACGCCGCGTACGAGCGCTCGCGCGTCTGGTGGATCTTCGGCTGCCACTTCTGCCTGCCGCTCGTCTTCTCGGCGAGCTGCTCGGCGCTGGCGGCGTGCCGGGCGCGATGCCCCGGCAAGGGGCGGCCCTGGGTGTGCACGCGGCGCCGGGCGCAGGCGGAGGGGCAGCTCCACACGTTGCTGCTGTCGCTGGCCATCGTGCACGGCGTGTGCGTGTCGCCCAGGGTGTTCATGGACGTGGCGACGGCGCCGGGAAGGGTTCCCGGCACTGCCGCCACGGGCTGGCTAGTGGCGATGGGGCACGGGCTGGCGTTCTGCGAGGCGAGCGCCGTGCCGGCCGTCGTGCTGCTCCTGCGCTGGCGGGAGACGCAGGGCGTCCGTGCGGCCGTTCGAGGGTGCCTCGTGTCCCGAGGGACCCCCGTTCCGGCCACTCCCCCAAAGGAAGGGCAGACGCGCATTAATTTCAGGATGATGCGGGCCGACTCCATACAGAGCACCTCCGTTTAGCGAACGCTCTTTACGTTTTCCCGTTAATTTGGTCAGTGGTCAATAGTTTGGCATAGTGCCACTGAAATTAAAAAGCTGCATTAAAACAGCGGTGCTCATCTCTTGGTGGTTATGTATCAGTTGTTGAAATTCCACATTATATACCAGGGAGCAGTTTGTCTATAAGACCATTAGATTAGCGTATAGAAATGATCCAATTAAATTATTAAGAATAACGATTTTTTTTTTATACACAAAAGGTTGGAAGCCCCTGCTATGCTTCATTTGTTTCCGTGAACGAGGCAATTTTGAAGATAAATGCAAAGTGCACTATATATCCATAACAGGTTTTTGGGTTAGATCACGTAAATATATAAATGTGTCGTTAAAACCCACCACCACCCGACACAGCCAATTAGTAAGGGTTGTCACGTAAACAGAACGTGGCCAATATGTCACTAGTACAGCACACCGGTGTGTTGGAGAGCCAAGCCACAACATTTACAATTGGCTCTCCAACACACCGGTGTGCTGTACTAGTGACGAATTGGCCACGTTCTGTTTACGTGACAACCCTTACTAGTTGGCTGTCGGGTGGTGGCGGGTTTTAACGACACATTTATATATTTACGTGATCTAACTCAAAAACCTCTTGTGGATATTGGTCACGAAAGCCTCCGTGTTAAACTGCACTATATAAAAATACAATGCCAGCTGTGTTTATACAAAAAAAATGGTCTAATATCCCATTAAGTTCTTGAAATCTTAATGATTCCGTGTGGCTATAGTCTTTGTAAACGTCCTCTAATAAAAAAAACGAGAATTATCAAGACCACTCTCAATCCCCGTTTTTTTTTATAATAAATGCGTAACGATGCAACTGTGAAGAGAGCACAGGGCTGATACGATAGATGCACCAATAACTTTATTTCAGTGTATTTAGAAAAATATCATTTCGACATCGTTATTTCACAATTCGAAGGCACATTACACGCATGACACGCATTGTATTTTCGATATTGCTCCCCATTGCTTGTGACACAAATATGGCACAATTACCACTTATATTATAAGAAAGAATATATACTCTGTTTATTCATTTATTTATCAATCCATTTTCTCAATTACAACTGGCTCAGAGTAATCAACCATGAATGGCCAGAGCCGTTAAGTGTGTCCTCACGTACTGTACTTGAGTGTGCTAAGGCTGTATTTTCAATAAACTTTGAAAACTTACACGAGTTTTATCATTACACATTGGCCGAGTTATTTTGATTGTCTACCAAACAGAAATAGAGTACTTGTTCTTTTGCCTTGTGTAATAATAAAAAAAAGATCAGTGGTCCTGTGTTGGCTTTGTAAACGAAGCCAGAAAAAAAACTGGATATTTGCCTAACTTCTAACACTCGTGGGTTTTCTCAAGCACGGGTTATGGCTCAAATTTCAATAACGGACAGGGCTTCAAAAGCCCAACGCCCCACATCAGACGACGGTAACGTACAGCTCGTGAATATTTTCATCCATTCAGCGATTAAAGTCAACGTCTCGCAGCGGCGCATTAAAAGTGCCCAAGAGGAATTTTTTTTAGTTATAAACAAAATATCCACGCACCCTTATCATCTGTAAATTATCACAGCTCTATTTGAATTTTCAAAAATATAGTCATATAACTCCAAGCCAATTTAAGGGTACGACAATGCCCACAAAAGTCACCGTGCGCAGCTGTTGCCGCAAATCGTTTCTTTGCCCGCACAACTCGTTGTTTCCCCAAGTCGTGCTCCAATGGACCACATCTGCTGTCGTCCTCGTCACAAAAACAAGGGGTGAGGGAACCTCCTGCTTTATCGAGAGCCAAATGAATTTTCAAATACCTTTGGCGGGTCACCCACGAACACACCCACACCTCGGTCACTTCTGTCACTGCAAGAGGCCCTTGGCAGTGACAGAAAAATGACTTCCGCGTGCTAAATTCAGGGATAAAGTGCGTGTCTAATTTTTGGTGAAAATATTGATGTCGTGCACCCGATAAATGCAGCCAAGATGCTTGCCGTGTCGGATAAATCGAACTTGCGGGCCGCCTCACAGTGGATGCAGATTCCCCACCCCTATCAAAATGAAAACGGGCCACTGTGGGGCCACTTTGGAGTAGACTGTGCTTACACGGGAAGGCACTGCCCACACTGATTCCCCCTCAAGACGATGAACATCCACACCTCGTCTTCCACGGGTCACAGTCACTGGCTGACTGCAAGAAACAGGACCTGGCCTGGCACGCGACACAGTGCAGAGACCATGCCGACTAGGGGTAGGATGATGCACCCCCTGGCAATTCTGGGTCGTAATTCGATTCAATAAGAAAAACTATTTTGAGCACCATGGAGAATGTTGAGGCCACGTGTGACTGCAGGGGGGGTCACGTGAACCAACTACGTACAGCAGACACGAATCGATAGTAATGCATTTGTTTTACGCGCGCGATTCGACGCATGTTACCATGAGCATTGGAATCGATGTTAATCGATGCGTAACGTAACAACGCTTGCGGCAGTCGCAATGTGCCGCTCGATAGATAAAAGGCTCTGATGTGCCCCGACTTCCTGTCAGTATTCATATCCGAGCGACCGTACATGTTTTCATTGGTCCGCTGAAGTACACGGATACGTACATCACACAGACGATGTGATGCACTGATACGTGCATCACACAGACGATGTGATGCACGTTATCGCGAGTGGAAGACTGGATATCGATCAATGAATCAAAGGCATCATCAAACGTCCGCCGGTTTAGAGCGACCCCGATGCGTAATAAATAGCCCACGGCTTTAACTTTCAAAAACCCATGTCAGACGGTCAACACCACTGCCAGTGAGACAGAGGAAGCACTGCTTATGAACATGTAAACTCTGCTCTTTACAAAACAGCAAACTTTCACAACTCGGTACAACAGCGACTAATTGACATAAAACAAGACAAATCAGACATCCCTATTGCATAGATGTTTGTCTGTTTGAGCACAGCGCACACAACAAAAACTCTCACCACGTTCGTCATAAATACTGCCCGTTAAAGAGATTTCATTATGCGACAGGGTAACGTTTCGGGCAACGGCCCCTCTGCAGCGCGCAGAGCGTACGGCTTTGAGTGCCGTTTTTACAGTCGGATGAATTTCTCCCTACCCTGCGGTGCCTCAAGGCATAATCTTAACGGACAAATTAACTGTATTGAGTTGAAAGATGCGGTTTGCTTTTTTTTCGTCATTGACAGATTGCATAACGAACAGATCTTCAATAATTTAGAAGTGCAAAAACACCTATAAATAGGATTGCCCAAACATCCCGATGCAGGACCCTCCTCAGAGACAATTCTGAGACTCGCCGAGCCCTTCGTTGAAGCTTAAACGATTTCATTAATATCCAAGATGGACAAGCTAGCCCCAAATCCTCCGGCTATTATATATTTTTTTGTTACAAGGCACCTGGTTTCGGCTTTTTTTTAGTATGTGTTCTTGTGCACAGCTACCGATGTAGCCCCTTATTTGTTTATCCTGGCTGTAGCCTTTGCACTTTTTTTTTCCAAGCCACAGGTGCCAGCGCATCAGTTGAAAAGTAGTTGAGGTTTTTTTTTGTTTCTACATTCATCACGTGGATGAGGCACGTATTGAGAGATTTACTGGCATATTCACAGCAGCCCCACCATGCTTTCAATCTGCTGCATGTACATTGGCTTCAGTGGCAAAGAAAATCTTCTCTCCGGGTTCACCCGCCAACACTGCCAGGGACAAACAGAGACACAGAGAGAGACACACACAGGAGAAATTAAACCACCCTGGAGAAAATTACAATGGGCACTTTTTTTAAAACCCCCTCCCTCACTTGTCCTTCACGGCAGAATAAATGGGTACATCACAGTCTGTCAATCGCCAGGTCGTGCGTGGTGGGGTAAACTGTGAGTACTTGGGGCTGACTTTCAGCCGGGTGTCTGGGCGAGCTACCTAGACAATATTTCTGCACCCAGCACCACCTCATCCTCTCGCTTCGGCTACTCGTCACATGCCTACTCCAGGATAACAGCGACCCGGAAGTAATTCAGTGAGAAATTAAACCCTATATTCTTGGGTCTTTCCGTAAAGTCATGTAGATAGGTTCAAAGAAAATAACAGAACCTATCTACGTGACTTTACCAAAAGACCCAAGAATATGAATTCCTTGCAGTCACGAAAGCTTTAAGTCAAAATTAAACCCTGTTTATCCTACGGCCATGTCGTCAGCGCAGTGAACTTACAATGCAAAGGTCGCCAGTTCGAACTCCCTGCTGTAACTAGATGCACGTTTCTAAAACCCTCCTCCCCCCCTTCTGCCTCTGTCCATCCAGCAGCACCACAGGTAAGTCAATCTGCAGGTTGCATGTGGTGGGGTAAAGTGTGGGTGCATCCTTACAGCATCGGTCCCCAACCTTTTTGGCACCAAGGACCGGTTTCGTGGAAGACAATTTTTTCGAGGACCGGGTAGTGGGGGGGGGGGGGTTCATCATTGGGTTTTTCCCCCTTTTCAAAGAAGCTCTCCAGCGACGTTTGTTTTTTACTCATTCTGGCTACTAGGGGTTAGCAGCTCGTGGGCTCACCAACACTGTGACTGAGACAAGTGCGCAGCGCGGGAAAGAGGCGCGGACGGAAGTGGTAAATAATAAAATAATGGGGGCGGGCCACGCGCGGACTCACCGCTCTCACCTCCTGCTGCTGTGCGGCCCGGTTTCTAACCGGCCACGGACCGGTACCGGCCCGCAGCCCAGGGGTTGGGGACCCCTGCCCTACAGGACTTCTGGCACTAGAAACGTCCCTTCTAGTTGAGGCCCTTCTGCCAGCAGTTGGTGTGAGCAAGTAGTTGCAGGGTTGAACCTACATCTTATTATTCCTTTTGCGAACATTAAGTCACTGGGCAAGTCAAGAAGTGGCTCAATCAACGCAGCGATGGCACTTTCTTTGATCGTCGCTCTGTTCAAAGCGTGCGCCGTGGATTGTCAAAACAATTCTTTGAAATGGGGAAATAAAAAAATATCTGCACCCTCCCAATGGTTTTTCTATTATTCAATGTGACCACCCTGATATGAACGTCCTCGTTCTTTCCGGTGATTAAAAGCACGAGTGGGACTTCAAAAGACGCGTGAAGGTGGGTCGCTGTAATTTCATTTTCAAATGGTTTCCACTGTCCCTTGCACAGGACAGAGTCTACCGTCGTGTTTGCTAATTCGGTGTGAGCAGGCATTTAGATCGCTCTTGTCTCTTTCTACTACCTTGTTAATATTGTTATCATTACTTAAATCTTGCCTGGCTTCGGGATGCATTGTAACTTAGTAGGCATGGAATGAAACACAATTAAATGTGATAATCAGTAAAAGCAATTCAACTTTTGTCTTGTTGGCACCGTTTTGTCCTCTAAATGTAATTTAAAATATACATTATTTCAAGCCTCTATATCAATCCACTGCTAGATGAAGGCATTCCCATGCCATGCCACCCATAGGGGGAGGGGGCTGATCAGTGTGGATTAGTAAAGGGCCGTGCGCTAGGACCTTATTCATATATCACCCGACACTTATGTTAGCCGTCACCTGGCATCAACCTCGGGTTGCCAAGTTCATAGTTCAGTGTACAGCCACTGCACCACGGCTCTCAAATATAACCATACAATTTGCATCAATTCAAAATAATAATATTTTTAAACACAACATTAAAAAACATTAAATGCAAATGTATCGATGAGTCATTACTATTCTGGTATCTGTACGATCGACATCGAACCGACCGTGTAAATAACAAACCACTGCGAAGGTAACGCAACGTCATCGAATGACTTACTACATTTCTCTACTTTACATTCACGTCATTTACACGTTAGGCAAATGATTGCCGCATCTTGATTAAGGTTCCCTCTGTAGGTTTCGGCACGATAATTACACCCTCACTGCGAAACAAACGACTCCTTATTTGAGCCGCGTCAATGCAAATCCTCCGATGCCGAGACGATTATCGGTGGCAGTGGTGCACGCTTTGTGCTCGCCCCCCTCTGTAAATCATCCGCACGAGGCTGGCGTTCTATTCCTCTGAGTCAGCATCGCCCCTGGAGCACAGACGTATTAAATTCCAATGAAAATAACGGGGACTTTTTGCTGTTGTGAGCGCAGTAAAATTCAGCAAGAGTTCCTTTGCTATTGGCTGTGAGCTTCCCCATGAAAGCCTTAGTGACCATTAAATTATTTTTGCTAAACAATGCATTGCAGTCGTTCTATCGGCATCATCACATCACGAGATGAATAATCCATTTTTGGAAATCTCAAGAGTGTTTGTGCCTCGGTGTAATCAGAGAACAGCCCGTGGAAGTGCTGCTTCACAGGGCTTTTGTCAAGAACATTCTTTTTTTAACAGCAGTGAAATCTAGCACCTCTCGTGGCTGTGGGGGTCATGCGCACACACTACACACGGCACACACATGACTCGAAAATTACGGATTCTTATACTGTACAATTCACTGCAAGAATCACGAGCATAGGAGTCCATTTTGATCCGATGAGCAATTGCATCATCGCACGCCTACTGGCCTCTAGGTCGGCGTTTCTCAACTGCAGTTCCTCTTGACTCCTCTCCCCATCCACGTTACGCTTTTAATTGTGGTTGCCAATTTTTTTTGCTATCCATATGCAAATTAAGCCACTGACACTGCGTGAGCACACGATGATCGGTAATCACGGCCATCTGCACCACGACGGGGTCACGATGAGCGGAGCCGAGAAACGCTCCGCGAGGCTTTAGAACCGACCGTGCCCGCGGTCGCCGATCTACACGACGAATGGCGCTGCCGAGACGGGAGGCACTCACGCTGGAGTTGGAGGCAGCGCCAGGCAGCTCCGTCGTCGTCGTCGTCCAGGATCGTTGGCTTTGCCAGACGGCGGAGGCGTCCCCTGCGTCGCCGCTTTCACTCTCACCTGAGGCTCCTTGGGCCTTCCCCGCGACGCCATTGGCGCCACTGCCACCGGCGAGCTTTTTCCTGCGCAGTTGGCGGCCGACGGGCAGCAGGTGTCCCTCGGTGGTGAAGATGAATGCGCGGCCGCCCACGTGCACGGGGTTCTCAATGTCGAAAAGCTGTGGCGGCACCGCGCGCGTGTGCGCTCGTCAACGATAGCGTGTGCGCTCGCTTGTGATAGCGCACGCGTGTCATCAAACGCGCGCCGTGAGAGCACGAGGAGTGGATCGGGGCTGGGGCAGCCAAGGGCAGTGTGGGAGATTCAGCATAGTCATCATCGTTATAAATAATAATCACGTAAAAAATGTTTACGGCACTTGTCATCTCGCTGCTGGATGATGGTCTCTCCACGCTGTGTCAGTCATGGGGGTTGCTTGACCATACTTCACCATGCTGGTCAGTGCATGTGGGTGAAGGGGCGGCCCGGAACCAGTTCAGATATCACTCGTGACTGATGTTAGCCATGGCCGGGAATCAAACTCAAGTTGCCAAGTTCATAGCACAGTGTGCTACCCACATCATCGTTATACCGCTCTTAATTTTCAGATTGTCATTTTTTCCGTTACTATGCTCATAACCTGAGAACTGGAAGTTGTACAGGAATGAGCAGTTCCCTAAAAATCAGTACATTTCCATTTCCAAACTACAGGTTTGTCTTTTTAGAGGGCATGGTCTAGCCTGCAGATCAGGTAAAATGTTTAAGAATGAGAATTAACAGCTTGGTAACCACCACCTCACTGCCATCAGCGAGTCTCAAATCAATAGTCCTTTGGTGACATGTAATGCAGGGTTCACTATAGTTCTGTAGAATAGGGTCGTGTTGTTATTTAGGAAAATGTCACACTTTTGAAAACTGGCAAAAGTAATGAAATGGTTGGCCAAAGCTTGCAGACACAAACCAGAGCAAATGTGTGTTTCCCTGACAGCTACCCACCCCCCAGCAGTTTCAACTCCACTACTTAAAAACTGTAGCAGACACGCATGTTGGAAAGTGTTACTTAATCCACATGATTGCAAGCTTTTTCCTAACTTGTTAAAGGAACGGATGACGAGCCCAAACGTATTGTTGTCGGCAAACGTATTCTAAGCCTGGTGCCTCACAGGAAGAAGGGTCTGGGGTTTGATTGCCAACTCAGGCACCAACTTAATGCGTGGAGTTTGTACGCTTTCTCCCCTTGTTCTGCACAGATTTCCTCCGGGTTGTCCAGTTTCCTCCCAGATAAAAAATAAAACGACATGCAATGCAACCAGGCATTGGACCAACATTTCTGAAAAAATAACCTGCAAATAACTCAATTGGGATTACAAACATAGCAACATTGCTCCGTGCTGAAAACAAACTTGGCAGGAAATTTCCGTAAAAACAGTCATGAGGTTAAATGAGGCTTTCAGGGGTAAAAAAGCAGTATAATAATAATAAATGTATTCATTGTCCTGCTATTTCACCGATGCCCATGCATAAGCTGTGAATTGATAAGATAGACAGGGTCCGCCACATCAGCAGCAACAGGAAGCAGTGCCACTCCCTGCCATCGCTCACAGGCACTTCCCGATGACCGCGCCAGTGAAGGGTACACACACAGAGGCAACGTACCAGGAAGAGGTACTTGCAGGTTTCGCTCAGGAAGAAGCTCTCCATGCGGTCCTCCTTGGACTTGTCAATGACGTGGTGGAGCGTCGCGTAGCCGCACCTGCGTCCGTCCGTGGGGGGGGGGGGGGAGATGGCTCAGCCAATTCCATCGGATTTCCGTAAAATAATGAGAAAGCATTTTGGCAGTAAGGTGCGTGCAGGCTGGAAACAAGTAAGGGTAATACAAAATTGTTTTTCTTTATAGCCATAAAAATGGTCCGATTGTGACCGTTAAGTTCAGCCATCCAATTGTGCCATGCACACCACAAGGCATCACCCTCACTGCGTGCGTAATACACACCAGCCTTGTTTTAGACTGCCAACTCAACAGAAATCATATTGGTGGAAATGTTATTGTCCACGGCAGCAGGCCAATGAGACAACGATATACTTGGTTTCATCTTTGCTAGTGATCAGGAATAGGTTTGTCTACCTAAAGCCCCCGAGGTATTAGGCAGCAGTAAACAAGGATGGCTATACTGCACTGATGATTCCCATCAAGGGCGAAGGCCTGTGTATACAGTTCTCTCATCGTCATACTGCTGCCTGGAATGAAATGGCCACGAATTTTGACTCTTTTGAGTGGGCAGTGTAAAACAAGGCTGTGTGCATTATACACACCGCATGGCGAGGTCAGGTGACACATGCGAGGCATGATCGGAGAGATTTATTGATGTTGACGCAAGCAAGCGGACACGGGCGTGCCACCCCCTCCCCTCCTAGCTCACCGCTTAGGGACCCCCTCTATGCTGGGGGGGTGGGGGGGCAATTCACGCTTTGGCCAATATTCCTTTTCGCACAACTTTTGTAGAAAATGCACCTATGGGCTGGACGGGTTACCTCACTCTTGTGTGCTTCTCGATGCTCTGCAGAATTTTTTGGCCGACGTGCAGGTAAAACGGATTCTTTGTGGCCTAAAAAATACAATGCGAATACCGAGAGTTGAATATCAAACAAAAAAACTAAGTTATTTTACTTATCCATTCTAACTTTGTGACTTGAGTTTCGGCAGTTTTTCACTGCACACATCACATGCACAAGTATGTGCAAAGCGTGGGTGGACCTGCATCGCGAACCATGACACAAATGCGTAGCAGGCTCACGCTGTGCAAGAAATGTACATGTAAACAACTGAAAATCCTGCTCCTCGATATCTGATCTAAAGCAGCACTAATTAACATAAGTGTGACAGCCCCTTGATAATCTACTCCTGGATGAGGGCCTCCCCAAGCCGTGTCAGTCATTGGGGGTTGTTTGACCGTACTTCACCAGGCTGGTCAGTGCAGGCTCATCATCACTGACATTAGCATAGTGCAGAGCTCTAACCACTCTGTTAGCTTGCAACATACTTTTCAAATTAAAAGGCAGCGATGGTAGTGGAAGGCACAATATTAATTTATTTTCTTTTTCTTTCCATATTATCAGCTTGGAGCGATGGGCACTGTGAACCCGGCGACCTGAGTTTGATTCCGGGCCACGGCTAACATCAGCGGTGAATGAAATCTGAACCACTCCGAGGCCCTTCACCTTCACTAACCCAAACTAACCAGCGTAGTGAAGCATGGTCAAACAACCCCCATCATCGACACATCGTGGACAGGCTCTCATCCAGCAGTGTATTGATAAAGGGCTGTACCTTAGTTTTATAAATATTTTAAACTTTTGATCAGCTCGTGGTTCGTGTGAGGTGGCTCGGTACATCGCAGGACCCTGAGAGATGGATAGAGCTTAGGGAAAGCCTTGTGTGAGCAGTGGATCGTTCACGAATAATGATGATTATTTTCAGTTTGTGTATCTATACCACAGCCAACGCAGTCCCTCAAGTTTTACCACTGACAATAGAGCAGGGGAGCCATGAACAAAAATGACAGCGAACAAAAGCAGAGGCTGCCCACCTGATACAGGAGGTAAGTGGACTCCACTAGCTCAGGCCGCAGGGGGTAGAAGTGGACATCGGGTGCCTTGAGCTGCCAGTTGTAGCGCTCGGGAAGAGCCTCGAAGCGCTGCCAGATGGCGTAGTAGAACGCATGAAGACAGATCGCCTCCTCCACATCCCCGGCCAGCACCTGGGCACAAACGCACACCTCCCAATAAGCGCGGTTGGCTACGTACGGTGCGAAAGAAGTTAAACATACGTACATATATACACGCACGCACGGGCGCGCAACACACAAGCACAGGTACACACGCGTACGCAAGTACACGAGCACGCACGGACACGCACGCACAGGCATACATGCACGCACAAACTCGCACGGGAATACACGGACGCACACACACATGCACAAACGCTTGGCTTAAAACTGTCCTTTGTACAATGAAGCTCCTTGCAAATGGAACCATACTGCGTCTCTTTTACATTTCAACACTATTGCCTCACGGTAGTGGAAGAAAGGATGCAATGCTCAGACAATATGAATGTAGGTGCTTTAGAATCATATCTCATTTAGAAATGTTTCGTGTCAAATTCCAGCCACTATTTGGTGACCTGTCTAATTTGTTCAAAAGTCAACCTGGTATTTATTTTCGTGTAATTTTAAGATACATGTCCTGGTACTCGCTGTTTGTATCAAGATATGAAATCGTGATTGTGACTAAGATCTGTACTGTACAACATCCGTACTATCACAGGATGCAAATGAAAGAAAGCCTAGCAGCTCATTGGGTCCTTCCTGTTGAAATTATTATCAAAATCTAAAATGCCTTTATCGAAACAGTAAATATACCACAAACGTTATTTAACTCTTAGTAATCAATGTACGTTTTTTCTAATATTCAGTATATGTGGAATGCTCTCGTGGATATGACTTTGGGGCAACCTTTGCTCAATTTTCAAACAGTGATGAAAAAACGAGTCTGTGACAAGAGATGTGGAGGTTGTGGCTGTCAACGTGAAGGGTCTCTTAATCTGCAGGGTCTCTAACTACAGTCATTCGTGCCCTTAAGCCTAGGAGCATAACATTAACAATAACACTCTGTGTTTAATATTTCATAATTATTCAAATGATTACAGAGACGCAAACAAGATCCATTCAAAAGCCAACGGATTGCCTCATGGACTCCCGCTGGAACCGTAAACAGAGGATGAGAAATTTGAAAAAATAATCACTTTTGCTAAACGTTGTTTAAAAGCAAGAGAGCCGTGCGCCAGCTGCTTTTGCTAAACGAGATTATTTTACATCGAGCACACGAGCATTGAGTGCCATCTACTGCCGAGAGTTGTCAATTGAAATCCGAGGGAGCCCAGACCTTGTGCGCGACATCATCCACTCACAAAAGCGAAACGATTCACGGTACAGGGGCAATGTTTCCCTCACTGAACACAACAAAACGTCTTGGGTGGAGGGATTTTGTAGGTGGGCCGGCGGGCGAGTAAGCGGGCGTGCGAATTGGCGGGCGAATAGGCGAGCATACAAGTGGGCAGGCACGGCTCCTATCCAACACCCACAAGTGAGACCATATCACCCAAATCCTCAGATATTGCCACTGGTTCCCAATCCACTTCCGTGTCGACGACAAGATAACGCTCACCATATTCGAGATTCTCTGTGGACCCGCCTCTGCCCACCTCTCCCCGCTCATCTCACCCCCCCCCCCCCGCCTCCGATTAGCATGGTTGACTAGGTACAGTGTGAAAGAAGTTCAACATACATATCTACATATGTACTACACCCATTCACATACTCTCCGCTCCCATTTCCTGGAACTCCCTCCTCCCCAGGCCATCCTTTCTAGCGACTCGCTGGCCCTGTACAAGTATAGCCCTCAAGATGTTCCTATTTTCTTGGGATAAAGACTGGCTTTCATATTTATTGTCTCATGTATAAATAAAAGTACATCTCCGCCTGTTTCTAGTGGTAACATGTGCTGTGCAAGTCTGGTTATTGGTAGAGAGAATGCCCAAAGGTTAAAGTACCTAGTGTCAACTGTGCAAGAGGATAGCAGATTGGACAAGGGCATAATTAAAAAAAACCCAAAAGGCTTGCCTGAAATGGAGATAAATCAGTGAAGTGATGGGATATAGGAAGAATCTAACATGGTTAACTGGGGAAGTATATGACCGTAATAAGACCGGTATTGACATGTGGGTTTGAATGTTAGGACCCTAAAAAGCATGGAGGAGCAGATGATATGCACCAAAGAAAAAGGGAAAATGGAGATATATCTTAGGGATCAGAATGAGTGGTCGGGTCAGAAATAAAGAAACGATTTAATAGAGTTGACCAAAACGGCTCTGACATGTATGTGTATATTGAACTTCTTTCGCACCGTACACAGCCAACCTTGCTAATCGGAGGTGTTGTAAGAAGAGAGGAAAATCACATCAGAAGACGAAAGGTGATAAACATGGAAGCATCATGGTGGAGACAGGGAGGCAGGTCAACGTGGTGAGCCAGGGAATAAAGGAGTGCGGAATGGACGTGGAGATGACGGCCCAGGAAAGAAATGAGTAGATGACGAAAAGGAAAGCGGAGCCAACATTCGTGCGAATAATGCCCAGGAGAGGAAGATGAATCCACACAGTGTTCACACTAACCTGAAGGCCCGGGAAGAAGGCCTGCAGAGAGTCGATCCAGGTGTTGATGATGCGGCCGCTGCACATGTTCACGTTGACGTAGAGCGGTGGCTCCCCATGACCGGAGTTGCACTCTCGTCGCCTGCGTGCGCGCGCACACACACACACACAAAGACCCCCCACATAGCCTTAACAGTGCTGTTAGCGAGCACCCATGATGTGCACACACACACGAATACACACGCACACAACAACAACAATAACCGCCATTCGCCACTCAGTGGCGGCGATGTCACCACGGCGCTTGTGCCAGGCTATGTGCACGTTTAGTCGACCCATGGCACCTGGGTCTGCTCCGTGATCACCTGCCAGCGGGCGTTCGACACTTCACGTGGCCTCAACGTGCACATGGCCTGGCACAAGTGTCGTGGTAACGTCACTGCCACTTAGTGGCGAATGGCCCTTGTTGTTGATGTTGCACGTTGAGGCCACGTGAAGTGTCGAACGCCCGCTGGCAGGAGGTCACGGGGCAGACCCAGGTGCCATGGGTCGACCGACTGAGATAAATTGCTGATGCACCACCTGTGCCCCCTACTGTGCCAACAAGCGCGCGCACACACACACACGCATATACGGAGCTCGTTAAAAGTCAATGATCGGTGCCGGTGGGGGGCGTCTGGGGTGTTTGGTGTGCGGGGAGGGAAAGGCGATGATTACCCCTTGCGGAGGTGCGTTTGGATGCTGGCATAGATGGCGTTGAACATGTGCAGGTCCTCGTCCTCTCCGAACAGGACGTGGGACTTGAGGAGGTACTCGTAGAAGGAGTCCAGCCCCGCGCCGAGTCCACTCTGGCTGCCCACCCACTGCCCACTTTGCACGTTGATCACATTCCCTGCCAAGCCCGGCCAACACACATGCACACGATTCCATGGTTTCTTCAAACGCAACAAACAACGATGTAAAATTTCGATTTAAAGCTTTCGTGACTGCAGGGATTCATCTTCTTGGTTCTTTCGGTAAAGTCATGTAGAATGGAAATAATAAAATAATAAAAATAAAACATAATAAAATAATTCTCACGACGTTTCGGCCACAATGCAAGCAGCCGACCTCATGTGAAGAACAGGTCTGTCAAGGAGACAGTCTGAACAACGATGTTATGCTTAACAGGTTAAACAACCATTCTCCCTCCCTTCTCTTGCAGTGTCCTGCCAAAGCCCATTTACTTTTCTTCACAATTAACACGATGTCTCAAACTTGGGGCATCATGATCATCGCCATCGTCAACCATGATCGATCCACTGCTGGATGAAAGCCTCCCGAAGCCATCTCCTCATGTTGAAGCGATTTAACAATCCACCAAGCACCTGCCACACGAATCGATTTCATGGCTCTATCTCTGTAGTGGACAGAAAAGTTGGCTTCGGTAAGACGCATCGCTCGACGGAATGACGGCCAGTAGTCAAGACTAATACAGGAGTGGCAGCCAAAAGAAAGCACGCCAGCAGAGGACGTCCAGCTCGGCAAGAAAACAATGGCCAAAGCTAAGCCAATCAGCATCAAGAACCAGCAACAACAGTAGCAGTCAATGCTCTATATTCATTTCCTGATGGAGATCTCAGGTCGTGTAGGCGAGAAGTCGGACACCGTACTGAACATCACGTGGGACAACCCAAAAACACGACGGACAGCTGTACGGCACAACACAGCAGTATTCCTCCCACCGTCTCTTTTCCCACGTTCCTATAAGCACCTCCGCTTAGCACGGGTGGTTACGTACGGTGCCAAAGAAGTTCAACGTACAAACATACATGCATCTTTAAATATACAATTGTAAGCTCCTGCACGGTTCAGGATCAACGCGCAAGCGCCGATCTGCTGCGCGCCACCGCCACAGCGCCTTCGCGAGCCATCGCCGTCGTCTCACCGAGCAGGCCGGTGGTGTTGCAGCGCAGCGCCCAGAGGGAGCGCACGGCCCTGCGCGCCGCCCCCTCGTACGTGGGGTCGCCCAGCAGGCGGCTGAGCACCCCGAACTCGACGAGCAGCGAGCCGGCGCCCGCCGTGCACGTCTCCTCCGACACGTCGAGCGGGACGCCGCGACGCAGGTTCACCTGGTGCGGGGCGCAGGGGAGCAGGGCGCGGACGAGACGGAAACAAGTTTCAAGTTAGCAGCCGGCCAGCGGTGGCCAACTGGCGTCTCCCGCCACATGTGGCTCAATCGATGGGGCATAACGTAGAACAAACTATCACAGTAGCAAAAATAATGAATGTCTCTCGTGCTGTGCCGAAAACTGTCAATATATACACTTTTTTATATATAAGCTTGGCTGTTTGCAGAACTCATGCGTACTTTTTGGATCATGGTCTGTTATAGGTTGGCCATAATAGGTTTTTCAAACTGCATATGACTGATCACCTCCGAGAAAAAACATTATTTGGTGATACTTGCCGCGTTGGCAGAGGTGCACAAGCGTAGCCAACAGCATGGAGCGCATTCGTTAACAACACTGCGGCCGTGAAAGTAAAACACCACAGGCGACGTTTCGGGCAAAGGCCCTTCTTCCATAGTAGCTATTGGCCTGAAATGTCGCCTTACTATATACACGTCTTCCTTCAAGGCAGCGCAGTGTTATTCGGCGTGGACAAAACATTCGCTTGCAGCACTCGCACACATACTCTCAGCACGCCCGGAGCCGTCGTCCCTCACCCGCGGGTAGGGGATGCCCGTGTTTGTGTTCTCGAAGGCGGGCAGCAGACGGCTCGCCAGCTCGTGCGCCATGTGCAGCAGCTCGTCCTCGTAGTCCGGCAGCGCCATGTCGCCAAATGGCTGTGCCGTGTCCGTGATGATGAGGTGTGCTGACAGCAGCGAGCCCAGCACCCTGTACGTGCCCAGACAAGCATTTGCAGCAGCATAAGCGCAAAGAAATAAACCAAAAAGCTCCAACTGTGTATTATCGTCACATTGTGTATGTGCACAGCCGTTTTGTCAATCCACTGCTGGACATCTGTGAAAAAGAGCTTTATAGTGCATTGCATTCCTCCGGAATAAATATTTTACAGTAAAACCTTGGATTGCGAGTAACTTGGTCTGCGAGTGTTTTGCAAGACGAGCTAATTTTGAAAATAAATTTTAACTTGATAAACGAGCGAGGTCTTGCAATACGAGTAGTACGTATATGCTTTGCCTGCCGAGCGTCACGTGATCACAACTGATATACGAGTGCTTTGGATTACAAACACGTTTCCGGAACGAATTATGCTCGCAATCCAAGGTTTTACTGTATTCGGATTCTTTGACAATTCATTCATTGCTGGGGGTGTCAGAGGGGGGGTGGGTGGGCGGGGTGTTTTTGTGGTTGGTGCGAATCAACCCCTACCCAATGGATACCATGATGAGTAACCATGAATGGTTAACATTCATAATAATGAATGACGTGGATATTTGCAAGTAAGTGGGCTTGGGCAGGACACTTCGCTGGAAGGGGGGGGGGATGATGGCGGTTGCTCAAAACGAACGACTAAGTGGCAGAACACGCCCGAGAGGATGTCCACCGTGGAGATAGAGCGACGATATCAGCTGGCGTGTAGGATCGCGAGCGATGGCGACGGCTTGGGGAAGCCTTCAACCAGCATTGGATTGATTATGGACAACGACGACGATGATGATTAGGGGCGGCACTGTCGCTCACCGTATGGTAGCCTCGAACACCTGCACAGTCGAGTCCTGGTCAAAGGAGATCGTCTCCATCACGAGCCGCACCGCCCGTTGAAACTCCGAGGCATTCCCCATCACCTACATTAGAAGTAGGAGCAGTACATACATAATCATGCCACGGAACGGCACAAGGCCCCGGGTGCAAAACGTGAAATGGAGCCCCCTCTCCAATTTCCCTCCTCTTCGCATGGCTTGGTGCCTGTGCAACTCCAGCACGAAGAGACCTGGGGGGAGGCAGTGGCACCACCACACTTGATAGCCACGCCGATGCCACAGAACCACAAGACCCCATTCCAATAGATCGGGCCGTGGAATCACCTTCGTTGATGGAACACCAAATCGTTCTGCAATGCCAGCATTTCATCCCAGCTGTGACGAGTGCACAATCTCCAAGTGGGAAAGTGTGTTTTTTTTTTAGATGTTGAAATTAAGTGGGATGGAGATTAAAGAAGAATCCCACAGCACACTGAACTCGTCCCACTGGGGATTTTATTTTCATAACTATAATTATACTGAACTGATCCCATGTATGCCGCGAACCATTAAAAAATACCTCGCAATAAATACGCAAAAAAACTATTCTGGTCACATTCTAAATGAGACTAGCCACCGCACTAACGGGACTAAACACTGCCCCCATTTCTCATAGAACATCCTTCAAAGCCTGATCAAGAGATTAACATTTGCGTCATTTTGGTCACGTGCCAACTTAGGGACCAAACGAAAGAGAACAGTGTTGCAACATCCATTCATTCTCTGCATTGCATGCATGTGTAATGCGGGCGTAAACGGCTTGGCGGATGTGACGTCATGTGGGGAGGAGTCAGGGTCACGTGAGAGGGAGATGGTATAGCGGTGAGACAGGAAGAGATCGGGGCCAGTCGGGTAAGGGAAGAGTGGAGACCGCGTTGGGTGGTCGCTGTGCCCTCAGCCTTGTGGCTGAGGGGATCGGTGACAGCGCCAGCCAGCGGGATGGAAGAGAGTTGGTTGGAGACTGGACGAGGGTGAGGCCACGGAGGGCGAAAGCTGGGAGCAGCGAGTGCAGCAAAGAGGCTGCGTGTGGGAGACAGCAGCGAGGCTGCTAGGGGCTACAGCAGCCTGGGGCTGCAGAGCAAAAGGGCTACGGGAGCGACAGCAGCCGGAGGGGCTGCGTGAGTGGGAACAGCAGCAAGGCTGCTAGAGGCTACGGGAGCGACACGAGGAGACCAGCAAAGAGGCTATTGGTGACGACGGGTGCGGCAGCAGCGTCGGCGACGAGCGGAGGGCCTGAGAGTGAGACAGCCGTGTGGGAAGAGAACGCGAACCCAAATAAAGGACACGGAGACAGAACCAGGGTCGAGTCCTTTATTACACTGGAGTCAGAAGTGAAACGGCATCTCAAAACAACTGAGAGAAAGAAGAAAAAAAAAAGAATATTCCTGCTACATCATCCGACGACGACGACCTTCCTCAGACGGTGGACCTGCCTGCGATGGAAGAGGAGATCCGTTCTGGAACGAGTACGGGTCCGGGTGAGCAAGGTGTCGCCGCCTCGGTGGACCTGTCTGTGCCGGAGGACGCCAACTTACGATGGAGACAGATGGCGGCGCAGATGGGGACCTTGAAAATCGTGCTGGCGCAACTGTGTGAGTTCACCACGCCGAGGACGACGTCGGGGAGGCCCGGTGGTGATCCGCAGGCCTCTGCCTTTCCTGCGCTGCCAGCGCCATTGCCACGTGGCACGAAGACGCCATCTTGTCTTCACCGCGGCGGGAGGACGCCGCCATCTTCAACATCGCGGCGGAGAGGCAGCCTTGCGCTGCCATCTGGAGGTGCCGCGGGGTGAGCAGCCTGCTGTGAGCTGCTGTTTTTCGAGGGGGTGCTGCGAGGAGAAGACGCCGATGCTGCAGCTGCTGGGGCGGGAGCTTCCCGTCCTGGCTCGGGTGCGTGACAACGGAGCCGTCAAGTCGCCGAACGAGTTCTGCGAGGCGTCTCAAGTTGCCACCCTGCCGTCCTCTTCTTGCTGCAGCCCCGGGCGAGTCGTAACGATACGCACCCGGCCTTAACACACACCTCACCCATCTTTCGAGGGCCGGGGGGCTATTTTGGTTTTCTCTTATGACTCGATTGTGCGGAGCGCGGTTCGGACTGTGTGTATGTGTGTGTAATAACGATGAACGCGCTATCTGCTTGTTGCTGAGTGTCAAATGGTGTGTGTGCGCTGCTGCGTGGAGTTGTTATCTTGATGGTGAAGTTAATTATTAACTTGGGAGCGTCGGGTATCCTGGGCTGTACCATGCGCGATGGGCTTAATTGAAAAAAAAATTTTTTTGGTGTATTGTGCTGCGAGGTGCTGTGTGCGATGCGGTTGTTGCATGAGAGAGAATAATTGTGTTATTGCTGCAAAGTTACGACAGGATTAATGGTGTGTTGGTTGCCTGCAGATCTGCTTACTATTGTGCTTAAATGTACGCGTGTGATCGCGATATGCTGATTGCATGTGCTGTTATACCGTTCTGTATGGTTATGGGGTGCGATGCAGTGGTTGACTATTGGAATTGAGATTGTTATTATATTGTGCGTACTTGTTGGAAATTGGTAACAAATTCGAGGGGGACCCAAATATTTGGTTGTATGGTTGTTGTGCACACGAGATTGCGTGTATATTATAGAGGGGGACCCTAAAAATTTGGTTGTATGGGTGTTGTGCACACGAGATTGCGTGTATATTATAGAGGGGGACCCAAAAATTTGGTTGTATGGGTGTTGTGCACACGACATTGCGTGTATATTATAGGGCTAATTGAGCTTTTTGAAAATGGGGGGGCGCGATGACGCCGTTGTGGGTGGCTTAGATGTTAATGCTAATGGGATCGTAAATGGGCGCCAAGTGGCGTCGTGTATTGGTTGATTGCATGCAGCCACGAGTTGCTTTGCGAGTTGGGTTGTGTAACTAATGTGGTTGGTAAAATATTGGTTAAAAATTCCCCGATATGACTGCTGCGCGCAGCAAGCTGGGGCTGTGCGTCTATCGTTGTTGGGGTTGTTACAATTAGACGGGGGATGCATTTTGTGACCCCCAGCATAGGGAAGCTGGGGTGCACGAATGGAGAAAACTGGCCACGTGTTCGCACGTTGGGCCGCCATTTTCTGGCCACGTGTTCGCACGTTGGGCCGCCATTTTGCGCGCACGCGGGGTATGGCGACGATGCGCTTTGCGGAAAGGGCCGCCATTTTGAGTGCGCGCGAGATATTGCGCGAACGCGCTGGGCGAAGGGGGACGCCATTTTGAGCGCGCGGGAAAAACCGGGGTGGAGCAAATATTCCATCTGTTATGCCTGCCATTGTTGATTGGGTGATGCATGAGTTGTGGTCACATCGGCCTATGGCTGATGGCTGACCTGACAGCCCGGAGGCGAAACCTCCGTGGTATGTCTTAAACTAATGGGCCATGTGCTCATATGGCTCGGGGAGTCATGGTTCAGTTGTGCGGTGGCAGACTGAACCTGGTGTGCCGGGGGCTCACGGGATCTGGGTTAGGGTGTTATTGTCTCTATAAGAGAACATTGCCCCGTGGGGGGAGTCCATGGGGTCTGGCATTGCCGGGGGATGAACCTTCCCTGGGCTATAAAGCATCAGACTATACGAGGCTGGTGTGTGTCCATCTCTGATGGGATAGTAAGGGAGGAGCACGGCCGAGTTGCTGCTCATCCCCGAAATGGCACTAGCCGAGAGTCTGGTAAATGGATGTTGCTGTGGGTTGACGACCACGGTGAGGGTTACGGCGAGTTAAACGTTACCGCTGGGGAGCGTGGCTCTCTCCACGCGAGGGTGTGCGATTAGGCGTTTTGTTGGTTTGTTGAGAGTGACTGTGGGTACATGCTGTGTACGTCTGAGGTCTGTGCTGGTCCTCAAGGGAGGACTGCTGGTGGGTAAGAGCAGAAAATTTTTTTTTTTGTCACGTGTAAATAATATTGTTGTTAAAATGTAAATACTGGGGCATCGATCGCGGTTAATTTGGGTAATTATTGGGTTTTTTTTTTTTAAGCGGGCCGGATTTACATCATCTCCACTACCCTGAGGCCGGGTGGCTGTCATGTACGACATGCGGATGTGCGTTGTTGTGCTGTGCCTCAGGGGATTGGATTCTCCTTCTCGTCACAGATTCTTCAGCTCCCGTCGCACTGGGTGTTACCTGGTGTGCTAGCTGGATGAGGACTTGAAGGAGCAATTGAGCGCCGTTCGTCATTCTGCTCTACCACTTGCTCTTTGATGTTGGACTTGAGCCGAGCGGATGGAACAACAACATGGACACGCTTTGAGACACCACATTTCTGGGTTGTGCGCGTGTGCCATTTTTGCGTGTTGGTGGCCGTTGTTGTGCTTTGTGCTATTATTCTTCTTGTTGTTCTGTTCCGGTTCCTGATCCTTCCCCTTTTGTTACTTGTTGTTGTTGTTATAAGGTCTATTGTGTCTGGGGGACTCCTGGTTGTGATGCCTTCGCCCGCATTATTTTGTTCTGTTTCAGCCGAGGACGGCTGGAATTTTCTCTACGGGGGAGGGTGGTGTAATGCGGGCGTAAACGGCTTGGCGGATGTGACGTCATGTGGGGAGGAGTCAGGGTCACGTGAGAGGGAGATGGTATAGCGGTGAGACAGGAAGAGATCGGGGCCAGTCGGGTAAGGGAAGAGTGGAGACCGCGTTGGGTGGTCGCTGTGCCCTCAGCCTTGTGGCTGAGGGGATCGGTGACAGCGCCAGCCAGCGGGATGGAAGAGAGTTGGTTGGAGACTGGACGAGGGTGAGGCCACGGAGGGCGAAAGCTGGGAGCAGCGAGTGCAGCAAAGAGGCTGCGTGTGGGAGACAGCAGCGAGGCTGCTAGGGGCTACAGCAGCCTGGGGCTGCAGAGCAAAAGGGCTACGGGAGCGACAGCAGCCGGAGGGGCTGCGTGAGTGGGAACAGCAGCAAGGCTGCTAGAGGCTACGGGAGCGACACGAGGAGACCAGCAAAGAGGCTATTGGTGACGACGGGTGCGGCAGCAGCGTCGGCGACGAGCGGAGGGCCTGAGAGTGAGACAGCCGTGTGGGAAGAGAACGCGAACCCAAATAAAGGACACGGAGACAGAACCAGGGTCGAGTCCTTTATTACACATGCATGCTTTCAAAATGGTCAGGCCACTGTCTAATCACTGCTGGATAAAGGCGTCCCCACACCGTTGCTATATTTTTATGGTTCAGTGTCGTCGTCCTCCATCTCACTCCTGCACATGAACTGACCTCATTGCTCCATCTCCGCTGTGGTCGGGTACTTGGCTGCATCCTCTTCTTTAGTTGTCATTCCGTCAGTCTTGTCCATCGGCCATAATCCCATATAGCGACGCGTCCTGCCCAAGCCCATTTACTTATCTTAATTGTCGAAATTATGTCACCGATTTGTGCTTGCTTCCTGATACATGCATTCCTTTTTCTGTCCCTCAGTGTAATTCCAAGCCCTATGTCAATGAACTGCTGGATGAAGGCCTCCCCAAGACGTGTCTGTCCACGGGGGTTGTTGGATCATACATCACCAAGCTGGTCAGTGTGGGTTGGTGAAGCGAGGGGGGGTGGGGGGGCAAGACCCTTCCAGATGTAACTTGCCCGGAAATCAAACTCAAACTGTCAGGTTTATAGAACGGTGCACTAAACACTGTGCCACCGCTGGCCTGGACCGTTTAATTATTTCACGATTCCAAATGTTTTGAATTTAATTTCAAATCATGAAACTACGGGGGTATTTTTTATTACAGGGAACTTTTTTTACTTGTAAATACACTGCAAAACATAATATAGTACAGGGTTCCACTCCCCTACTGTGCAATCTTGTGTACCCACAAGTATTTTCTTGTAATTATTGTTCACGTATTTATGCACGGTTAATTTTAGATATCGAAAGGTTATTACACCTAGCCTGTAGCCAATCGGAGGGCAAAATTTAGAATACACGGAAACCTTGGCCATCACAGGAGTTACCTTCTTGAAAATAGCCACAATCGGCAAACACGCGATCCGCAAACTCAAAGGCATCTTCATTAAGACTCATCAGTTCAGTCATCAATGTTAATTTCTGCCATGTGCTTCTGGGAGCCCTATATATGACGAGGAAACTACCTTTACGCTACGGGGACCCTATTAGCACTTGTCTAAAGGCAACAATAATTCAATATCTGTAAATGACGACAGAACCCATCAAGAGAGAAACAATTATGCAGACTGGGAACTCGGTTTTTACAAACCGCTGCATGTACAAAAGCTCTCAAGCCTTATCCAGATCACCATCTCAAAAGATTTCAAGGACAACATAGCCACATTCGGCAAATGTGGCCCCATGTAAACTACTAAGTAGGCAAGCGATTAACCACCCTAACAGCTTGATGATTTGTCTCAATGTGGATTGACGACTCGATTTATGAATACACTCTTTGTGATATCATATTTACCATCTCGTTTTGATTCTCGGTTTTGCCGTTACGTTTGTTCAGTTTTGTTTACTCCATGAAACTAAATATTCACATTTGCATATGCTTTGCATATAATTTACATATATGTATTTTTAATAAACGATTGCCACATGCACGACTCCATACATATTTTGTGAGCATAACTACGAATTGTTATCTGGTCACCACCGGGCACTGCCACTCCAGATACACTTTAACAAAATGCAAAATGCTCACCAACTGCTTATATTATTTCATTCAATAAATAAATCTACTCAATTTTTTTAAAATAACTGGATAAGCAGTAAGCACTTACCGCAAGTGTGTCCAGAGCATCTATGAGCGTAAGAGAATAGTTTCCCAAGACGTCGTTGATGTTGATGTTTGATCTGGGAAGAGAACGACGCGGGGAAATGTAATTGTTAGTTCGGTTTCATTGAGTTACCCGTATTTTACCGGGTGAGAGACCCAAAAAGATGAAGGTCCGGAGGAGGGCGAAAGTAATCTGGATCAATCAGTGACAATTCATTTACATCGCAACACAATTAGCACGGTTGGCTACGTACGGTGCGAAAAAAGTTTATAACATGCATACATTTTTCAGAATATCGAAATGCGACTGGATCTCGGGACTGTGCAAAACGGAGGACGTGCACATCGTGGAGACAAAAATTAACCCGGAAAAACAAAGTTTTTCACTATAAGTGCGTGGCATCGGTTTTATTTTATTATTCATTTCTGTTTTTCTTGAGTAAGAGTTTCATTTTTATGACATTAGTATTTAAAATTAAATATGAATTTTTTTCCCCTAAAAAGTGAAAATTTTGGAGAAAAAAAATTCACGAAAATAAATTGTCACGCACAACGAGTCTGTGTGCAAAATGTCAGCTCGATTGGATCACGGGAAGTGGGTTAAAAAACAACCGAAAGATTTGCACGGTCGTAAGCGCGCAAGCAGGTGAACTTAATATAAAGGATTTAAAAAGGGACGCGATTAATATTTTTGAAGACGCAACTGGAATGGTTTCGTAGATTGGGGTGAAAGTCGATCATGAACAACGGAGAAGACAAAGATCTGAAGCCTGTGTATTTGAACAGGGACAGGCAGCCCACAGCACCGGAGTCAACCCAGACTCGGATAAGAATCGTGCTTCTAATTATGTACACATTATGTGCTTGCTTCAATCTGCTTCGAATTATAATTAAACATTTATAAATGTAAATCACCGCACTTACAAGCAGCTCAAGCATATGCGATACCTTTGGTACTATTAATTCAGGTGCAGTGTGAGACATGCTTTGGCATGCCCGATGTTGCACAACAATCACATTTTGTTGCTTCACGAAACTACACCCTCAGGTTGTTTGCAGAGTAAAAGTGCAGCCATAGGGGTTAGCAAAGCCCAGCCGATTCTGCAATGCCGTCAGAGGAAGTGGATGTGTGTGTCTGTTGCCATGTGCACACACGTGGTTGTTTGTATCACTTCCACCACTGGCACAAGACGTGGTCGAGTGTGAACAGGGCTGTTTTTAATATCCCCCCCCCCCCACCCCCAGTTTGATCACGATTGTGCTATCGGCATCATGTCTCTCAAAGAGCGGTGCAACGCTTGTGTGTTGAAGAACAGCCCACAGAAGTGGATAGCACAAAGCTACCTCTGAGATCCCTTCAAGTGATGTCCACACTTTCCCATCTGCTCTACCACCGAGTGTGAAGTTCATCACATGACAGTCAAATCAAAGTTGAAACTAAACCAAAATAAAATATTTAAAAATACTTTTTTTTAAACACGCTTTAATGAAATGTACTGTCTGAGCTGCCCCTCCCCCTGCCTCCTTCCCCCATCGCCCCTCCCCTCCCTCCACATCCCCCGCCCCTTGGCGTGGCTCCCCGAGGCTTGCCCGTGACATAAGGGACCGTGGTGATTTACAGCCAACGTGAGTTGAGCGTCGACAATTAGAGCCGTAAACGTGGACAATTTGAGCCGTAAAACAAGATCGTTAAAAATATTTTTTTTAATTTTCAATAATAGAATATAGCATTGTCATCAGTATGACATACCTATACCAAGTTTGCAGTCGATAGCACATTGGGAAGTGGGTAAAAATTTAGTTACAAGATTTATTTTTTGAGCATACAACAGACTGAGTTAAATAAAAGCGTGTACAAATAAGTGCAACATTGCACTTGGTTCTTTCGGTAAAGTCACGTAGAAGGGAAATAATAAAATAATAAAAATAAAACAATTAAATAATTATCACAGCACTTCGGCCACAACGCAAGCAGCCGTCCTCGGGAAGACAGACCTGCTCTCCACCTGAGGACGGCTGCTTGCGTTGTGGCCGAAACATCGTGAGAATTATTTTATTATTTTTATTTTATTATTTCCCTTCTACGTGACTTTACCGAAAGAACCAAGAAGATGAATCCCTGCAGTCACGAAAGCTTTAAATCGATAAGTGCAACACATAACGAAGTGTGTCAGTTTTTACACGCTTTTATTTAACTCACTTTGTTGTTCTTGTCGTTGTTGTCATTGTTGTTGTATCCTCAAATCGTGTAACTCAATTTTTACCCACTTCCCAATGTGGTATCGACTGCAAACTTGGTATACGTATGTCATACTGATGACAATACTATATTCTATCATAAAAAAATATATATTTTAAAACATTCTTGTTTATATGTTATGTTTCTGCTTGGGTCTAATTGTCCACGGTAAACTGACGTTGGCTGTAACTGACCACGGTCCCTTACGCTATGGCAAACTTCGGGGCCACTTCCTGGAGTCGTGGAGTTCTTCCATTACATTTCATTAAAGTGTGTTTTTAAAAAAGTTGTTTAAAATATTACTTGTTTTATTTTTGGTGCAGTAATTGGTGGCCGAGCTGAGGATTCATTTCACTTACAAAACCGGTTTCATAATCACGGATAGATGGAACCCACATTTCAACCCAGATTCTCAGTAGTGCTACCACCTCAGTGCTCTGACCTCTGAGCCACACTGTCATTTTTGTTTAAGAGGAACACATTCTGGCTTGCGTAACAGACAACCATAGAATGTAAACCTCACATTGCATAAATACCATAGCATGCTCATAGAATTCTTGTGCATTGGTGCATGGCATCTGCATGCTGCTCACTGTGACACATGAGACACCTCGGGTAAAGTTTTCAATGTCAAAAGAAACAAGTTTGCCTGGTTTAATCTGCACTCCATTGGTATGGATAGGGAAGTACCTTAGCCTGCTTTCTTTTTTTTTGAAAAGTGCATTCAGAGTATTCGGCTGCAATACATTTCCACGTGATGAGTCACTTCGTTGAGCTATCATTTTTGGCCAGGTCGCTTATGAAAAAGAGCTACGTAGATAACTCCCCATGAGCCCGACCTGGTAAAATAAAAACTGTAGTTCGTTAAATAGTTTATTGACTCCGAATAGCATCGTGATCACACTGAAGTTTGCTATTAATACAGTCGTAACTACGTGGGCCACAGCATCCAACCATCCAATGTTGTTGTTACCCGTATCCACGTCTACTAAATAAACCTGTTCCTCCACAAGCCATTAGCGCAATAAAGAATTATCAGTGTAAAATTATAGACCTGTGGGGAAATCCAGTGCAAAGAGTGCGAATAAACTACCTTCGACAAGAACACACTCTGGGTGTGAGCACACCGGTTCGGTTTTAAATTGCTTCAAGTCTCCCGGGACCCATCCAAAATGTAATGCGTGAACGGGGAAATCCTGTGCTCACTCTGAAGTCTAAAAGGGGCATCGGCTTCCAAGTGGGTTTTGAGTATTCCATTCCAGCACTTTTCCTGTGTGTGACCACAGCATGCAACCAGAAGGAGATTCCTGTAATAATATGGGATGAGTCACATAGCGTTAATTTAGCTGGCATTTTCTGTTTAAGTTAAAGTTATCGGTCAAGTCGTCGACAAAATGCAGAATTGTAGTCAAGTCTTCGTCTGTGTATTGTATGTAGTCATTCACTTAGTCTCGTCGAATAAAGCAGTTAAAATTTTAGTCCACCTCGTTATAAACTGTTGGTATGATGGACGCACAATTTCCTCCCCTAACCCAACATTGTACAGGTAGGAACAACAGTTCCACACTGCCCACCAGGGATTATTTGTCTGTCGTGCATAGCCCCTCCCAAACATGTAGTACGCTCCTGGATTGGTTGAAGTGCATCACGTGACCGCGAGCTCTCTGTCGTGCACGAATGCGCTGTCCAACCAAGTTCCAACCTGCCCACTCCGAAGGAACGTGTTCAGGTCAGCCAATCAGTGAACTCAGGAAAGATGCTTATACATCTCTCTTTGGTTCTTTCGGTAAAGTCACGTATAAAGATAAAATAATAAATTAAATAATAGCATACGACGTTTCGATTGCAACACAAGCAATCATCATCAGATATAAATGAAAGAAAAACAAACCTAGTATACTTAGAAATATGTTAGCCGACTCTGTGTTGTATTGCATGTCTCGTCAATCACCATATTTGGTCTTTCTCGGTGAATAGAGACTCATGTTTCTAAATTATCTTCGGATGCACCTTCATTCAAAGACTGCAGTTTATTTCACCTTGTCAGACTCAAGTGCACTTTTGGTCTATGGTGGGTGAAAGTAGTGTCATTGTCATCAAGTCATGATGTTCGTCCACTTATGGTCATCGTTCAACAAAATAAAAAAAAGTCCCGACAAATATTTTCGTCATTAGCTTCATTTACAAAATTAACACTACAGCCATCAGCTAGACAAAGCCACCAGATGTCACATACACATACGGAGATTTCTCATACAGCCATACAGGCTGTTTGGGAAAGAGCTCTTCGTGGGCACCTTTGAGGACCAGTGTGGAAACAGGGGGATGGGGGGTCGTGTGGCCAAGCACTACGTCAAGCCTCCTTTATTTCCCCAGTGCCAATGCTTACACACCGCACCATTCACTCAGTTAAGGTGGCGTCAACCTTTGTGGAAGCCAGAACAGGTTCGCATAACCTCAGCCACTTATTTTAGCCATGTATGAGATTTGAACCCAAGTAGCTGGGTTTGTAGAACAAAGTGCTAGCTGCCTACACCGCCACTCCCACGATGTCTCACACTTTTGTGGATGTGTGAATATGGGCCACAGGATGGCGGGTGAGAAACAAGCCATATGCGGTTTCCCTTGATACCTTCATTCAGTCTTCGAGATAGTTGGGTGGATCAGAGGTCAGAGTGTTGAGCTGGTACCGCTGCGACGTAGGGGGGGGGGGGTTTAATCCAAACAGCTGCATGTGATTAAACTGGATTCTCAAATATCGTGAGATAATGGTCTCAGCTTGGTAACTGAGGACCGCACAATAAACTGTCGCAAATAAATGTGGTTCCGCACTTAATT